GAGGCAGAGAGGCCAGTTAGCAGGCTGTGGCTCCCTTATAGAAGGGTGATATCATCATGGAGGAGGCTGAGAGTAGTGAAGGACACAGTAAAGGGACCCAGTAATCCAAAATCCAATAAGATTTAGTGAGAGCTTCAAACACTGCTGACAGCTTCTTGTCGATGGATGAACTAGCTATGGAAAGTCAGGGAAAGGGATGTGCAAGTATGTCTCCTAACTTTTCAGGACTAGAAGGTGGTTGCCATTCACTCAGGCTTTTAGCTGGGAGTGGTGACACAGGCCTGTAATCCTGGCACTTGGGAACCCCAGGTATATGAAGACTTCATGCCAGTCTGGGCTACATGAGACTGTCTCAAAGAAGAGAGTTGGTTTAAAGGATGTTCCTTTCACACCCTCATAGGAGAACTCTCCTTCATCCTCCACCCATTTGCCTTGAGTTTTGAACCAAATAACTTGTTGCTCTAGGGTAAGACAAATAATTCCTACTCAAAGAGAAATAATTCATAGATTGGCTAGTGACTCGTTTACTCTGACTAGAACAATTGAACTGAAGTAATAACTCAATGGTAAAGTGTTTACTTAGCACACCCTACCTGGCTTTCACCCTAGTACTGTTTTGGACGTAGAAATCTCTCTGTTTGCCCAGGCTGGCCTCAAAGTTCTGGGTTTAAGTGATCCTCCCACGCCTCTTGAGTAGCTGAGATTACAAGTGCCTAACCTTACTTTGCCTGGCTCCTCTGAGTTTTGAACTAGGAAATGGAGGAAGCACCCAGTATAAGCTATATATTAGCTTATAGCTGTAAAGGAGAAGACAAGGAACAAAATGGAAGTTGGCAATGGCAAATTGGTTTAGCTAGATTACCACTAATGAATGTCGCTAATATGAATACTCAAAATTTGTAATTTGAAGTTGTTAAAAGTACCATTTACAGAGGTATAGACAATCTTCCAAGAAATCAACAGGGATAGCAGAGCACCGTGAGGGCTGGTGGCTATTATCTCTATGCCTAAGAGGGCAAAGGTAAGAATACAGAGGACCTTGTAGAGAGAAAGCTCTGCAGACAACCTTTGGTGATCCACCTTTAGGAGTGAGGACTGTGAACTTCCTATCTTCAGACCTTTCTACTATTCAGATACTGGAGGGCAAGACTGCACACTGCTACTATCTAGAGAGGTTAGACTTCTGTGGTACAAGGTCAGGAGAAGGGGGAAGGGGGACTTCCAAGTGTGGTGGCACATGACTGCAACTCCAGGCAGCACTTTCGAGGCTAAGGCTGATAGACTGAAAATCTGAAGTCAGCCTAGGCCACATAGCAAGTTCCAGGCCAGGCTGGGCTACCTAAGAAGACTCAGTTGCAACAAACCAAATAAAACAAAACAAAAAGTACAAACCAACCAAGCCAAAGAAAACACAGAACAACCCACTTTCCAGATCCTTCCCAGGAAGCTATTACTCTCTACTTTTTTTTTTTTTTTTTAAGATTTATTTATTTATTACATATACAGTGTTCTGCCTGCATGTATTCCTGTATGCCAGAAGAGGGCGCCAGATTTCATTATAGATGGTTGTGAGTCACCATGTGGTTGCTGGGAATTGAACTCAGGACCTCTGGAAGAACAGCCAGTGCTCTTAACCTCTGAGTCATCTCTCCAGCCCCTACTCTACTTCTTAATAAAACCTTGCTTGCTTGCTTTTCAAAAACAAAACATGAAACAAATAAAAAGAATTAAAAAGGCTAGAGTGAATATGGAGGGATAAAATGAAGCAAAGTTGTTTACTACAGCTGAGCTATGGAGACCCACACTTTTAAAACCAGCACTCCGGGAGGCAGAGGCAGGTGGATCTCTGTGAGTTCAAGGCCAGCCTGGTCTACAGAGCCAGGGCTGTTACACAGAGAAGCCCTGTCTCAACATGCCCTCTCCCCCAATCAAATAAAAAAAATAGATAAATGATAGATAGATCGATAGATAGATAAAATAGACAGCCAGCTCCTGTCACAAGCAGTAGTAATGCACTACAATAAAGTCTCTTAAGTCTCACCACTGCATTCTAGAGTCCCTGAGACCATGACTGCCCTCCAGTTCTCTCCCTGCAAAGCAAATATTGTTTCCTAGAGACACTGTTTCTTGATCATTTCTTCATCTTGACTTGAGAAGTCTGTGACTCTTCTAGACAACACAGAGCTGGGGTGAGAACTTAGTCAGTAAAGTACTTGTGAGGTTTTGAGTTTGATGCCCAGAACCCATGGGCGAGGGGACACAAAAGCATAGTGGTACTGGGGAAGCACAGACTCACTGGACAGCTGGCCTAGACTAGGTGAGTTTAAGCCAGTGAGAAAACTTACCTATAAATAAGTAAATAAGCCGGGCGGTGGTGGCACACACCTTTAATCCCAGCACTGGGGGGGGGGGGGGGGGGCAGAGCCAGGCAGATCTCTGTGAGTTCAAGGCCAGTCTGGACTACCAAGTGAGTTCCAGGAAAGGTGCAAAGCTACACAGAGAAACCCTGTCTCGAAAAAACCAAAAAAAAAAAGTAAATAAATGAATAGGTAGATGCTGCCTAAAGTGTTCCTCTGGCCTTCATATATGTAGTGCGTGCGCGCGCGCGCGCGCGCGCGCGCACACACACACACACACACACACACACGACAAATATCCACAAGTAAATGCAACTTTGGAGAAACACCATTACATTTCCTTTTCCTCCAGTGACTCAGTTGTGTGTTTGAATAAGCTGATGGTGAAAGTGAATAGAATGTGTTTGGAGTCATACTCACTGGCATTTGTTGGTACAATTCTGTACAAGAGTTAAGTATTTCTGAACAAGACTTTTAAAAACAAAAAGTTGATTGTAACAAGAACAGCTAGCTAGTTGGAAGTCAAAATTCAAAGTTTTGCCAGGACTAGAGCTCTTAAAGTTGGCATTGGGACTAGAAATGGAAGTACAGTCCTCACTGGATAGCATCCAGTTTCAGGAGGTTGCTTAGGGTCAGGTGAAATGGTGAGTACAGTATTTGACATGGTTGGGGACAGTATAGGTGGAGAAAAACTTTTCACCAGTAGGAATGTGCTCTCAATGATGACCTTGCACCAGAATATAATTTTATTAAGCCATAAGTACAGTATATAAGCCAATATCACTTTAAATCAAATTTCAATGCTAAGCAGAAAGGTCTTACTAGGTTTCTGAAAATCTGTACTATTTCAATACCCATTGTAGGGAAGAAAAATTGGGAATGTAGTTGTTGTGATCAAGCGCTATTTCCATAAATTAAGGACTGGGTAATAAACTGGAAGTTATCTCAGCCCTTGGGAGGTGGAATCATGGTCAATTGTTCAAGACTAGGGGCTGGAGAGATGGCTTGAAGATTATAGCACTTGCTGTTTGGCTTCCCAGCACCATATTGGGCAGTTCACGAAAGCCTGTATCTCTAACTTAAGGAGGATCCGATACTCAGGGCACATGCACACTTGTGCACAACACACAAAATTAAAAATAGAATAATTCATGCTGGCTGTGCACGCCTTTAATCCCAGCATTTGTGGGGCAGAGGCAGGTGGTTCTAAAAAAAGAATAAATCTTCGAAATGGAGAGAGAGTGAGTGTTCAAAGGCTGCTGGGTGTGGTCCTTATGTCTTTAATACCAGCCCTGGGGACGCAGAACCAGGAAAATCTAAAAGAATAAATCTTAAAAAGAAAAAAAACCTTCAAGATATAGCTGATGTGTGGTACTCAAGCCTGTAGTCATCCCAGCATTTAAAAGGCTGAGGCAGGCGCATTCCTTTGAGTTCAAAACCAGAATGGTCTAGTTGACGGCTTCTAGGTCAGCCTGGACTTGAGAGGAACGCTGTCTCAAAAAACAAGCAAAAAAGAAAGCTCAAGGCCAGCCTTGAAGTTCAAGATCAATTTGGCTACGGGAGACCCACATCCCACTAAAAAAGTAAAAAATGAAAAAGGGGGTGAAGTGTTAAGTATTTGTTTTACTCAAGAGCACTCAAGAAACATTTTATTGTCTGTGGGGTGGAATCAGGACGGACAAGTGCACTCCTTGGCATTTCTGGGCTCGGTCTTGACCTGGACTCAGGATCAGGAGTGCCCGCGATGCCCACAGCCTCATTGGGAAACTCTTGCCGGGTCCTGAGGAGCCGCTCTCGTGAAGTGCTTGCAGCGCTTCACCTCAGCGGAAATGGACCTCCCGGTCCCCGCGGAAAGTCCTCGTCCCTGGGTCACAGCGGCGGGAGTGGGGAGGCGCCCCGAAGGGTAGCAGGTTCACCGTCGTCCGCCGCTGGGGCGGGGCCCACCTCAAACCACGCCCGCCGCACTCGGAAAGACTCGTCAGGCCGCGGTCGCGCACAGCTAGGCGACTAGGGGAGCGGGTGTGTAGCCACGTCACTCTCCAGGGTGCCCCGCCCTCCACACGCCCTCTACATGCCCCGCCTCCTGCCTCACCTCGCTCCCTGCAAGCCCCGCCCCGCATCCTGCCTCGCCCCCCGGTTCTCGCCGGGATCCTTGGGCACCTCGCCTAGTGAACGCTGCTCCTCCTGGCGGCTTCGCCCTCTGCACGCCCCGCCCACCGGCCCGCCTCGGCCCCTGCGCTCCCCGCCCACTGACCCGCCTCGCCCTCTGCACGCCCCGCCTCTTGGACGCCTCGCCCACTGACCCGCCTCGGACACTAATCGCCACGCCCATTGGCCCGCCTCGCCCCCTGCACGCCCCGCCCCCGGCCGCCTCGCCCTCTGCACGCCCCGCCCCCTGGGGCAGTTACCGGCTCAGGCCGCGCGCGCCTCCGCGTATCGCCCAAAGAGCCTTCAGCCTGGCTGGAGCACCGCGTTGCCGCCCGCGCCCGCTGAGGGCTCGCGGCTCGGGCGCGCCCGGCGCGTGTGGCGAGCTCCGGCCGTGCGCTGCGACGAGGCCGGGCGGCGGGCGGTTAGCGCTCCGCTCGGCGGGCGGGGAGGAGCGGCACGCCGAGCGCTGCACGCCTCGGCGGGCGGGTTCCGCGTCCCAGGACCGAAGCGGGTCGGTGCCCCCGTGTAGAGAGAGGGGCGGCCGGGCTCCCTGGACCCGGACGGCCCCCGGCTGGGCAGGAGGCTGGGGCCAGGGGCCGGCCATGTCCGCTCGCGCCCCGGTGCCCGCCGCTGCCCCCCGGGAGGACCCGCCCGCCGTGGCCGGCGACCGGGACGCTCTGTTGGCAGCGGCGAGCCGGCGGGCGGAGCAGCCGGCGCCCGGCGAGCGGGAGGGCAAGGAGGCGAGGGAGGAGCGGGCCGCGGCCGCCACCAGCGCGGGGGCGCGGGGAGAGCCGTCGCCGGCGCTCGTGCTGGGACACAGCGTGCCGCAAGCGGCCGTGCCCGTGAGGCCGCTGGCGCTGCACCTGGCACACAAGGCGCGCGCGCCCGGGGGTCCCTTCGGCGGGGAGGCCCCACCGCTGCCACCGCCGCCGCCGCCGCCAGCACCGCGGGACCCTCCCGAGGACGCCCAAGAGGACCCTGCGGCGGCCGGCCCCGAGGACAAGCCGCCGCCGCCGCCGCCGCCAAAGGGGAACCCGTGGACCAAGAAGCTGCCGCAGCACCTGTCCCCCGTGGGCACCGGCGCGCCGCCGCCCGCTCAGGACGCCCCGGAGGCCGGTGAGCGCGGTCCGCGGGAGGTGTTGGGTTCCTAGGTGTCATTCACCGTGCCCATTTACATAAATGGACATCTGGGAGAAGGAGCGACAGGAAGAGGTGGGACCTCAGGTTCTCCTTGACGGGTAGGGGCACGGCGTGGGTGACTGGGCAGCGCGGCCCGGCTCGGCTTGTGCCTTCACGTGTCGGCGACCTGGACGCAGCGAAGACAGACTGTGGGAAAGTTTCCGTGAACTTGCCAGAGTGTAAGCGAGTCAGAATAAGCGGGTCTGTGTGTAAGTGGAAGCGCGACCGGGCTCGCTCGGGAAGTAACTGGTGAGAGGAGAGGTCCCCCAAGGCTGCTCGGGCGATGTGGCCGTGAGTGAGTGTAGCTGGCATTAAGGTGATTTTCGGTTGCGTTTCAGAATGCCTGACAGGACAGTTGATCGGGAGTCTGGATCGCACGGCTGGCCTCACGCTAGCCTGCGCATTAGAGATCGGGTTGTGCCATTGCGTTCGAATGCTGACCAGTGCAATATGGCCCTTGGGGCTTTATTTGGGTTGCAGCGACTACAGTTTAGAAAATAAGATTAAGACTGGCCTGTACTTGGTGGCGCACGCCTGTAACTCCATCGATGTGGAAGATTAGGCGTCCGAAGCCAGAATGAGCAATTTATTTTACTAAAGTCTTAAAAAAAATGGAAATGCTGAAATGAAACTTCCCATTTGTTTTTAAAATTAAACTGTACTAAAATAACTGGGCTTTTTATGTGGAAATTGAGGCTGTTGGCAAGTTTTCGCTGTTCTGAGGAGAGTCAGTGGAATAGCCGAAGTTTGAGTATGTTTACAGGGTTGTGGGGGTCAAAGGCGGTGAAGGGATCCTGTACAAATGTGATAGTCCTATCTCTCCTGTAGGGGGAGATAAATGTTGAACCAACTTACTAGTCTCTTAGCTTTTGCACGGAAATCCTCATTATTTTGTTGTTGTTTTGTTTGCTTTTTGAAACACGATCTATTTGTGTATCTCAGGTTGCTCTGGAACTCTTGATTCTCCTGCCACTGCCTCCTTCCAGTTGCTGGGATTATAGGCATTCGGCTCTCCTCATGAATTCTTACTAAATTTTGGCACTTTAAAGAAAAAAAACAAACACTGAATTTTGCCTTCCGTTAGTATTGGCATAATTCTGGCCTAGCTGAAAAGAGCTGTTTACTACCATTGCTAAGTGAAGAAAACATGCTATGCCAAGCCTCTCTAAAATTTAGTAAGAAAAGAAAGCCCTTGTTGATTGCTTTATTGATGGTTACCTCTCCACGTCTAGATTTGTACTTATTGAACTACCAAATATGAAGCCAGTTTTTATAAACCCAGTTTTTTAGAATTTTCAAAGTGAGACTTGGGATTCCTTTTTTTTTTTTTTTTTCCCCCTTCGTATGCTGGGGATGAGCCCAGGGCCCAGTGCTTTATTATCAAGCTGTATGTGCTGATATCCTACACCCCCCTCCTCAGGAATTTTAATTGCAAATTACTTGAGAATGTCCCTTGGATCTTCAGTCATTCTTAGATTAAGAATACCGTGATGCTTAATGGGAATATGGCCCATACCTGCGTTTCCAGCAGGAGTATCATGAGTTTGAGACCGGTCTGGATTACATTCAATGCCAGAATCTCAGGAAATCAAAAGGAGCTTGGTCTGGTGGCTCACTCTTTAATCCCAGCACTCTTGAGAGAGTGACAAGCAGATATCTGAGTTCAAGGCTAGCCTGATCTACGTAGTGAGTTAAAGGACAGCCATGTAGGCTATGTGGGGAGACTCTGTCTCAAAAACAAGAAAAAAAAAATCAAAAGGAGTTTCAGTTGTATCGATGTTTCTTTATTGACAGCTCTTACTTCTTGCAATATTACTCTACAATATTAACGATGCCTTTCTTCAGATCTATATCAGGGTAGCGACCCTGGCTCTAAGCTCTTCCTCCACAGTGTCTAATATGTAACCTAAATAAGAGATTGTGGTGTAGGAACGTACAAAATAAGTAGGTGATAGTTTAGTTGTTACTAACTAGCTAGTTGACTTTGGCAAGATTATTGATCTTGTAAATTAATGACATGGCTGGGTTCATGTCTTCTATTTGTTTTTTGTTTTGAGATGGCATTTTCTGAATTAATCCATGCTAGCAACAAATTCAAACCTCCCCAGTAGCTGGGATGATGGGCATGAAGGAGCCAATTTTTTGTTTGTTTGTTTGATTGATTGTTTTTCAAGACATGATTTCTCTGTAACAGCCCTGGCTATCCTGGAACTCACTTTGTAGACCAGGCTGGTTTCAAATTCAGAAAGATCCACCTGTTTCTGCCTCCTGAGTGCTGGGACTAAAGGCGTGTACCACCGCGCCCATCAGAGCCAGTTCTTAACACTAGAGTGCTTCCTACATGCAAGCTAGGTGCTGTGGCCTCTCATTTGCCAAAGAAAAATGAATAGGATGATATAGGGTTTGGGCAGATGGCTCAGTGGTTGAGTGCTTACTGTTCTTTAAGTTTTTAGCACCCACATCAAGAGGCTCACCCCAGTTCCAGAGGATCTATTGCTCTCTGATCCCTGAGGGTGTCTGCACATGGGTGGTACACAAAAATAAAAGTAAAATTTTCTAAAATAGGAAATAAAAAAAAGAATGAGATGTGTAATGGCACATACCTATAGCCCCAGCTACTCAGAAGCTGAGGCTGCAGGATCAACTACACCTAGGAGTTCGAGACCAGCCAGAGCAATATAGTGAGGCAGGGCTCGAGAGAGAGGTAGCTCAGAGGTTAAGAGCATATAGTGCTTTTTCAGAGGATCTGAGTTTGGTTCCCAGAACCCACGTTGTGTAGCAAATAGCTGCCTGTAACTCCAATTCCAGAGAATCTCAGCACCCTCTTCTTACCTCCTTGGGCAACTGCACTCACATGCACATACACACAGATAAACACATAATTAAAGTGAAATAAAGTAAGGCCCAATATCAAAAAGAGAATAATAGTAATGATAAATAATCAGATATGTCCAGAGATCATTTAGGATTCAAAGGATGCAGATTAAGCTATATTAAATTAGCAATCTATTGAGAGGGTGCTTCTAGAATTTATTTTACAAATAGGATACTCTTGAAAGAGAAAGAAAAGGATATTAATCCCAGCTAAACTGTGCTCTTACTAATGAAGGAATTACATCCACAAATTTTTGCCATAAACTCTGTTATCAGAGTTAGATACATTATAGCAAGCATGTGGAGTCTTTAGGATACAACCTTGAACTTTATTACATTTAGTGTGTGTGTGTGTGTGTGTGTGTGTGTGTGTGTGTGTGTGTGTTTATGTGAAGATCAGAGAACAGCTTTGAGGGATTTGTTTCTTTCCTTAGATCATGTGTGTTCTGGGGATCAAGCCCAGGTCAGGCTTGGCAGCAAGCTCCTTTACCTACTTAGCCAGCCATATCGACAGCCTAGCTTTCTCTAGACAAAAGTGAGGCAGATTCTTGATGGCTCACATGTTTTGAGACACTCTTCCACTCTTAGGATGGCTCTGATAGTGTATTGCTGTTTCTGGGAAACCAGATAAAATACTTCAGCCAATGCCAGGGCCACCTAGGGATGTCTTGAATTCAGTATTGAGACTTATGATCTAAGATCTTGGACTATCTTAAGCTTGTGTTAAACAGCTATAATTTAACAACCCTTCATTAAGTAACAGTCTATGACTTGTTAATCACTTGCTTTTAGCTGCAGTTGTATAGTAAAAATCTGTCTTATAGTGTAATTTCACAAAAAATGGGAATATAAAAATACTGATATTTTGCTCATTTATTTTTCATATTTATTCTTTGACCCTGGTTGTTTTGAGAAAGGATCTCACTATATAGTCCTGGTTGGCCTGGAATTCACTATGTAGACCAGGCTGGCCTCAGATCTATCTGCCTTTGCCTCCCTAGTGCTGGGATTAAAGGCACGTGCTATCATGCCTGGCTTTGTTGCTATTTATCAACCCACTTTTTTTTAAACCCCAAGTAATTTTGCTGTTAATACCTTCATGAAATACATCTTAAACAAATTATATATATATATATATATATATATATATATATATATAATTTTATATATATCTCCTTATAAAAGTAAAACTACTGGGACTCAGTTGGTAGAGTGCTTGCCTTACAATAGCTCAGCCTGTGCATTTCATCTCAACATACACACACTACAGAGAAGACCCATAACTCTTGATCTTTTGATGTTCCCTTCAAAAAAAGTTCAAAAAAGTCATGTTACTGATTAATCAGTTTACCGATTTTTTTTTTAGATCCTTCTAGTAATTACTTTCAAAAAGTATATTCTATAGGTGTGCTTGGAATGTAAAAATTTCATCTACCATTTTTTCATTTAAGGTACTGTCTGATTTTTAAATTTAATTTAACTTTTGAGACTGGGCTTTGTGTACCTCAGACTGGCCTGAAACTAAGTAGCTGAGGCAGACCTTGAATTTCTGATCCTCCTGCCTCCACTTCCTAAGTGTTGTGGTTCAAGGCCTGTGCCACAGCATCCCCACAGTGACGCCCCGCTGTCTGGCTAATCCTTTATAATCTAGACTCACTTCTGAAATTGTGGAGTACTCCATAGACACAGCGCACATAGCTAATTAGGGACGAACTATTGAACCTTGCTTCTTCTTCCCTTCCCTTCCCTTCCCTTATCTTGACAGAGCAGCATTTTATAGGTATCTTTTGTATTTGTTTATGCCTTTCCCTGGGGTCAATGTAGAAATAAGGTGTTATACCACGGGTATTACTGTTCGACACATTGCTTTCCAGGGACTGTAAATTGATATTGTTAGCATATGAGAGAAGTAAGTCTTTCCTTGTTTTTTGAGTTTGGGGTGTTTTCTGCTTATTTTAGATGAGAGTCTTGCTGTGTAGCTCAGAATTGACCTTGGGTTTTTGTTTTTTTTCTTTTTCTTTTTCTTTTTTTCTTTTTTCTTTTTTGAGTTTCTTACCTCAGCCTTCCCACTGCTAGAATTATAGGCTTGCACTACCAACCTGGACTTTGGCTTTTTTATTTTATTTTATTTATTTATTTATTATTTTCCTTTTGAGGAATTTTTTTTAAGATTTATTTATTTTTATTTTCTGTGTTTGATTTTTTGCCTGAATGAATATCTTGTACCACCTGTGTGCATAGTGTCTTCAGAGGCCAGAAGATGGTATTGGATCCCCTGGAACTGGAGTTACAGACAGTTGTGAGCCACCCTGTGGGTGCTGGGTCTTCTGCAAGAGCAACCAGTGCTCTTGACCACTAAGCCCCAAATAATATTTTTACTGGAGATTTAGGTTTCTTTCCCTGTGGTCAGCCCCCCTTTTCTTTTGTCCTACACTCCTGTTATTTTTTGAGATTATAATATTAATTACATCATTTCCTCTCCTTTCCTCCCTCCAAGCCCTCCTATACACCTCTCCTTGCTCTTTTTAAAGTTTGTGACCTCTTTTTTCATTGCTATACATATATTCATATTCCTATAAATAAAAAGAGCCTGCTCTGTCTGTATAATGTTACTTATGTGTATGTTGTCAGGGCTGACCATTGGTACTGGATAACCACTTGTACTTTGCCCCGGGGGACTCTTTCTCCCTCTCTCAGCATTCCTTCGTAGCTTGTAGCTCTTTGTGTAGGACTGAGGCTTCATGGTCATCCCTCTGTCCACTTCGGCATGTCTATTATGGTGTGGCCTTCGTTCAGCTAATGGTTAGGTAGTCATATTGGTAAGACTTTATGGGTGTGGCTTCTGGCATTCCTGTGAGACCCAATCTCACAGCATACTCCCTAATCCTCTGAGCCATAGGTGAGTGAGTTGTATTGTAGTCCTGTCCAATGGGCCTGGGCACCACAACTCTGCATTTTGATTGATTGTGGTTTTCTTAAAAAGAAGTTTCAAGTTTCCCTGATGAGTAGGGAGAACTACACTTGGGTATAAGGACATATTTAGAATGTAGTTAGGGGGTATGCTGGTTTAATAAAGTGCTGCTTGTAGGTTCTCCTCCAAGATTGGTAACTTCACCAACCCTGAATAGCTGGCTAAGGTTCCTGTACCAGGCATGATTTCCTTGTTGTTAAGCAGGTCATAAGTTTAGGTAGAGACACTGGTTACTGCCAACGTATGTGCTCCTGCATTGCATATTCTTTGATATGTGTTATTCATATGCACATGTACACATATATGCACATACACATACTATCTAGATAATCCATGTACTTGTAGAGTATTATAGGCACATTCCACCATGCCATGTTACCTTCTTTGAGAAATATTCTTTTAAAAAGTATATATAGTTATTTAATTAATTAATTTGAAACAGGGTCTCTATGTACCCCGGGGTATCCTGAAACTTTAGATGTAGACCAGGCTAGCCTCTCCAAATCTGCCTGCCTCTGCGCTTAGGAGGCATAGATCAAAGCTCTGTGCCACTACACTTGGCTGTTATTTTAGTTTTAATTATGTGTATGTGTGTGGGAGAGATGTGTATGTGCCTACAGAGGCCAAAAGATAGCATTGAATCTCCTGTAGATCGAGTTACAGGCAGTTATGACCTGCATGACCAAACTCAGGTCCTCTGGAAGGCTGTTAACTGGGAGCCATATCTCCAGCTCCCCTCCCCACTTCAGAGGGAATTTCAGATTGCAGCCAGCCTAGTTTTGAACTTTGGTAGTCCCCTGTTTCAATCTCCCTATTGCCTTGTTGATAAGTGTTCTATATCCTATTTAAATCTATTTCTAGCTTTATGATGTGGGAGAGGCAGTGTGTGTGTGTGTGTGTGTGTGTGTGTGTGTGTGTGTGTGAGAGAGAGAGAGAGAGAGAGAGAGAGAGAGAGAGAGAGAGAGAGAGAGAGAGAGAGACTCTTACTGTAGCTCATACTGATGGCAGACTCCTAGTCCCAGACTGATAGGGCTAATTGTGGTGGCTCACACCTGTAGTCCCAATACTAGGGAAGAAAGCAGAGACAGGGTCACTTCAAGTTTGAGGCTAGCTGGTCTGCATAACCAGTTCCGTGTTAGCCAGGGCTACACATCCAGACTCTGCCTCAAAACAAAACTCCAAATAAATAAATAAATACCCTCCCACAAAGTAAGTTAAATAATAAATGAGTAAGTGAATGAATATAAAAAACACAACCACAGCTTTAAAAGCCTTAATTTAAAGACAGTTTTTATGATCAGCCATTGTGCTTTCTTTTAAGATAAGGATAGGTGATGCAATGGTTGTCTGTTTGCTTGTTTGGGGGCACTGACCTCGTGCATGTTGGGTAAGCTCTCTACCTGCAGGCCCAGCCCATAAATTTCTACAGAGACCTGTTAATTTCCTTTTTGTGGCTGGATTCTGGGTGTCCTGGTGGTTTGTTTGTTTGTCTTATTTTTTATTATTTTCGTTTTTTTTTTTTTTTTTTTTTTTGTTAACATTAACTGGCATTATTTGAGAAGAGGGAACCACAATTTAGAAAATTCCTCCATAAAATTGGCCTGTAGGCAAGCCTGAGGGCCATTTTAATGAATGGTTGTTGGAGGAGCTAATACATTGTGGTGCCACCCTGGGCTGGTAGTCCTGGGTATTATAAGAAAGCAGGTTGAACAAGCCAATAAGCAGCACTCCTCTATGGCCTCTGCATCAGCTCCTGCCTGTCTATTCTTGCCCTGGCTTCCCTCTGTGATGGACTGTTAACCTGGAAGTGTAAGATAAAACAAATGCTTTTATCTCCAAGTTGGTTTTGGTCATTTGTTTGTGGTTGTTTTCTTTGTTTTTAAAAAATTTATTTAGTTTATATGTATGAGCATTTTCCTGCTTGTATGTATGTGTATGTACCATGTGTGTGCCTAGTGTCCACAGAGGTCAGAAGAAGGTGTTGGATTACTTGGAACTATATTTATGGATGATTCTGAGCCACCACATGTGTGCTGGGAACTAAACCCGGGTCTTAGCAAGTGCTCTTAACCACTGAGTCATCTTTCTAGCCTCTGGTAATGTTGTTTTACAGCAACAGAATCCCTAACAGAGATACTAGGTATAATCTATTAAGGCTGCCAAACCTGTTTGTTTCCTAGAAGTAGTTTGAAGTCCTAACCCCTTTTCTAAGTGTTCCTTGGTATTATATAGAATAATTCATCCTGTCACAAAATGAGTTGAGGGCTGGGGCAGTAACTGGAGGTAGAACACTTGCCTTCCCATTTGTGACATGGCAAAAAATAAAATTAAAAGAGAGAGAACGAGAAAGTGGGTAGAATAGAATTTTACTTAGAAGTTACAGTGTCAATTTTGTTATGTTTTCTTTTCTTTTCTCTTTTGGGTTTTTGCTGTTGTTTTGTTTTTGTTTTTAACACAGGGTTTCTCTCTCTGTGTGTAGCTCTATCTGTCCTGGAACTCAACTTCGTAGACCAGGCTATCCTTGAACTCAAAGATCCGCCTGCCTGCCTCTGACTCCTAAGTGCTGGGACTAAAGGTGTGTGCCACCACCACCCAGCATGTTGTATTTTCTTTTTCCTTTTTTTTTTTTTTTTTTTAGTTTTTCAAGACAAGGTTTCTCTATGTAGTTTTGGAGCCTATCCTGATCTCACTCTGCAGACCAGGCTGGCCTCAAACTCACAGAGATCTGCCTGCCTCTACCTCCCTAGTGCTAGGATTAAAGGCATGCACTGCCACCACCCGTCTTATATTTTCTTAAAAAAAGGATTGGTCTGCCAGCTTAGTATAAATTAGTATTTTCCATTTTTTTCTTTGTTTTTTTAAAACTGTTTTTCTGTGTAGCCCTGGATGTTAGATCTGCTTGCCTCTGCCTCCCAAATGCTGGGATTAAAGGCTTTTGAGCCCCTCACTGCCCTGCCAGTATTTTCAAATGTGGATAATGTTTGAATTTGCATATTATAGTTGATATCTTTCTAGGAATTTGAGTACCAGAAACTTGAATTTTGTTGTGAGTGATGACTATGCTAACTTGCCAAAATTGAAATACTTATTTTGCTAAATTTATTAAATGAAATGATTGTAAAAACAATTTTATATATTTTCTTTAGAGCTCAGTTCCCCAAAAATTATAAAAGCGGGAAAACTCAAGACAAAGAAATCCAACAAGGTATGCCTTTTCAGGATGTACTTTTTTTTTCTCTAAGATTTATTTATTTATTATGTATACAGCATATGTGACTGCAGGCCAGAAGAGGGCACCAGATCTCATTACAGATGGTTGTGAGCCACCATGTGGTTGCTGGGAACTGAACTCAGGACCTCTGGAAGAGGAGTCAGTGCTCTTAACCTCTGAGCCATCTCTCCAGTCCCCAGGATGTACTTTTAAAATGTATTGATTTTGAAAATTCTTTTTGAAGTCTGATCCTAAGACCATAGAATTTTTACTTCAAAATGTTTGAGAATTATTTGAATTAACTTGCCAAGTCTACATATAAGTACACAGAGGTGATTTTTAAAATTTGTATTACTTTATTTGATTTTGCTGTTGCTTTTTCCCCCTTTGGTTGAGACAGGGTCTCACTATGTAGACTAGGCTGACCTGAACTCACATATCCACTTGCATCTGCCTCCAGAGTGCTGGGATCAAAGGCACGTGCCACTATATTTAGCTTGTTGCTTTTGCTGAGGGGATGGGTGGTCTCATTGTAGCCCAGGTTAGCCTTTTGTTACCATGGTTGATCTTGAATTCCTACTTCTCCTACTTCTAAGTGCTCAAGATTGCTGGCATGTACCACCATGCCTGGCAACAAAAATTACATTTAGAAATATCTTTTTCTGTCTAAAAATTCTAAAAATCATTTTCAGTTGTAACAATTATTTTATTACATTTTAGGCTAGTGACTTCAGTGATATGGCCAACTGGCCAACACCAGGTGAATTAGTGAACACGGGGGTAAGTATGTATTTAAGTCTTTTAAAAAGAATTTTTTTTTTTTTTTTTTTTGGTTTTTTTGAGACAGGGTTTCTGTGTAGCTTTGGAGTAGCTAGTCCTGGACTAGCTCTGTAGACCAGGCTGGCCTCGAACTCACAGAGATCCGCCTGCCTCTGCCTCCTGAGTGCTGGGATTAAAGGCGTGCACCACCACCACCACCACCACCACCATCACCACCACCACCACCACCACCACCACCACCACCGCCCGGCTTTAAAAAGAAAATTCTTATTTCAACATTATTTGCTGTATTGGGTGTATTTAAAGATATAGCTCATCAGAAGGATTATTTTGACTTGAAACATTCTTTACTACATACATAGTATTAGTGATGAATTTAGTGGCTTAAAGTTTTACCCAATTATAAGATACTGTTTTCATTTACATTTCCCTACCTGGCTATATCCCCAGGAGTTGGTACAGTGTTTACATCACTCTGTGATTTTTTTTTTAACAAAAATTATTAAATTTTATTTTTAACTTAAAAAATTAGATTTATTTATTTAATGTGTGTGTATAAGTGTTTTGCTTGTATGGGCACCATGTGTATACCTGATGCCTGTGGAGGTCAGATGCCTGGAACCATAATTACAGGTGGTTGTGAGAAACTGAGCGCTGGGAATTGACTCAGGTCCTTTGAAAGAGCAACATGCACCAGGTGGTGGTGGCACATGCCTTTAATCAGAGCACTCAGGAGGCAGAGGCCAGCCTGGTCTACAGAGTGAGTTCCAACATAGGCTCCAAAGCTACACAGAGAAACCCTATCTCAGGAAAAAAAAAAAAAAAAAGAGCAACATGCGATCTTAACTGCTAAGCGATCTCTCCAGCCCTTAGTTATTATTTGGGGGGTGGGGGTTGTTTTTGTTTTTTGAGACAGGGTTTCTCTACATAGCCCTTTACTGTTTTGGAACTCACTCTGTAGACTACTAGGCTGGCCTCAAACTGGAGGAGATCTGCCTGCCTCTGCCACCCTGGTGCTGAGATTAAAGGAGTGAATCACCATGCCAAGCCCAAACATGATAGTTTTTTGGGGTTGGTTTTGTGTTGCGTGTGTTTTGGGTTTTTGTTTGTTTGTTTGTTTTTATCAATACAGGGTTTCTCTGTGTAGCTCTGGCTGTCCTGGAACTGGGACTTGCTGTTGCTTCAACCACACTGGCCTTCAATTCACAGAGATCTGCCTGCCTGTTGCTTCCCTAGTGCTGGGATTAAAGGCATGCACCACCACTCCCCAGTTTTTTATCAGAATGTGCAAGTAAACTCATCACTGCAAACAGAGCAATGAGCTTGGCTCCTGCCTGCAAGTGTTGGAGTCATCCCCCTCATCAGCAGGTGTTTGTATTCTCTGTGTAGGTGAACTATACAGTGTAGGAGGCACTGCTGTTTCTTGCTTACTCAGCACCATTGCCTTGAGATTTTTTTTCCCATGTTGTGTGTGTCAGTGATACATTTCAATTTATGGTTGTAATGTAATGTAATGATGGACATTTGAGTTATTGTAAATGAAACTCGATATAAAATTTTGCTTGGATATTTCCTCCCCACCCCCCACCCCACTAGGAGAAGAGTGGCAAGATCATATACTAGGTATTATTTAGTTTTGTTGTTGTTGTTGTTATTGTTGTTTTGTTTTTTAAAGAAACTGGCGGAGGCTGGGCAGTGGTGGCCCATGTCTTAAATCCCAGCATTGAGTCAAAGGCAGGAAGATCTCTGAGTATCAGGCCAGCCTGGTTTACAAAGTGAGTTCCAGGACAGCTAGGGCCACACAAAGAAACCCTGTCTCAAAACAACAGCAGGGGAAAAAAAGAAGAAAAGAAAATTCCAAGATTTCACTCTTACTGGTAGTGTCTAAGAATTCCAGTTACTTCACAGCCTTGGTAACTCTTAATTTGGTCAATTTTTAAAACTGTAGCCATCATAGTAAATATGTAGTTGATTTCCTTTTCTTTGACTAATGATGGCAGCAAATTCATGTGTTGGTGAAATTGGGATGTAACCCAGTACCTCAGACATACTAGACAAGTGTCTACCCTTCCAGGTTTTCATTTGTTCGAGACGGGGTTTCTCTGTGTAGCTTTGGTGCCTGTCCTGGATCTCGCTTTGTAGACCAGGCTGGCCTCGAACTCACAGAGATCCTCCCGGCCCAGGTTTTTTTTTTTTTTTTTTTTTTTTTTTTTTTTTTTTTTTTGTGTGTGTGTGTGTGAAATGTTAATAGAAATGATTCTATTCAGAACACTTTCTTTGTTTTCAGTCTCAGAATGTTATCAGCCAAGGAAATAAGAAGCCACAATTCAGAAAAGAAAAAGAAGAGAAGATTGAAAAAAGAAGCAACAGTGAGAGCAAAGAGAATCGGGAAGCAAAACTAGATGGTCCTGTTGAGAATGTCAGCGAGGATGAGGCTCAGGCAAGCAGCCAGCGGAAGAGAGGTCAGCGGGCCTGTGTCTTCATTTTAACTTGAAGTTTTGGAAGACTGTGTGGTGATGAATTATTAGTTAGCTGCTCTCTGTCATCACATGCGTATGCTGGGTTTTAAACCACCTGCAGCAGGTTTGGCCTGTTTGGCCTTCTATCCTGACCCCCCCCTTTTATTTATTTTGCATATATATATATATATATATTGGTTTCTCGAGAAGGGGTGTCTCTGTGTAGCAACCCTGCTTAAACAATATTCTGTACAAAAAAATGGAGTGAAATTCCTTATAGGTATTCTTGTAGATTTTCTTGGAAAGTTGTGTAATACCGTTGTTAATTTAAAATTTACATTGAAAATGCTTTTTGCTTTTTAGAGAATTCTGAGAAAATGGAAAAACTATTTCTTTAATGTGCATTGGTGTTTTGCCTGCATGTATGTCTGTGTGAGGGAGTTGAGTCCCCAGGAACTGAAGTTACAGACAGTTGTGAGCTGCCATGTGGGTGCTGGGAATTGAACCTGGGTCCTTTAGAAGAGCAGACAGTGCTCTTAACTGCTGAGCCATCTCTCCAGCCCCTGGCTTTCTTATTTATTTGTTTGTTTGTTTGTTTTGTTTTTTGAGACAGGATTTCTTTGTATAACAGCCCCAGCTGTCCTAGAACTCACTCTGTAGACCAGGCTGGCCTCGAACTCACAGATTTGCCTGCCTCTGCCTCCCGAATACTGGGATTAAAGGCATGCACCACTATGCCCAGCCAGCCCCTGGTTTTCTAAGAGAAAAAGTAAGAACAATTTTAGTCAGTATTTTAAAGATTTTTGGTTTTTTTGTTTGTTTGTTTGAGACAGAGTCTCAATATGTACTACTGGGTATCCTGGAACTCACCTGCCTTTTGTCTTCATAGTTCACACCTGACGGTTTTTTAAAGATTGATTTTTAACTATGTGCAAGTATGTGTGTAGATGAATTTCTAATTGGTCTTATTAAATAAAAAATATAGAGCTAAATATAGGGGTGAAAGCCTTTGATCAGGGAAATAGGGAAAGCCACCAGCCAGCCTTACCTCACCAACTAACTTTGCAGCTTCCAAATGTGTGTTACTTCCTGTCTACCCACGCACATATACCTGGCTGTTCTGCCATCTGATTTGCTCTCTGTCCAGCTACATCACTTCCTTTTCCTACACAGCTCTGTCTTTCTGTCTATACAGACCTCCAGACCTCCATGGTTAACTAGTGTTGGAATTAATTCATGTGCCACCACACCTGGCTCTGTTTCCAGTGTGGCCTTGAATACACAGAGATCCTGCCTGCTAAGTTAAGGGCATGTGCTACCATTGCCTGACTTCTTTGTTTACTTATAATGGCTGGCCTTTTTCCTTTGATCTCCAGGCAAGCTTTATTTATTAAAGCACAAATAAAATATCACCGTGTGTGTGTGTGTGTGTGTGTGTGTGTGTGTGTGTGTGTGTGTGTGTGTTTGTGTTTGTGTGTAGGCACAGATACCCATGTAATCCAGAAGAGGATGTTTTGATTCCTGAAGTTATAGGCAGTTCTGAGTCCCCCAACATGGGTGCTAAGATTTGAATTAGGTCCTTCAGAAAGGCAGCTCATGCGTTTAACCTGAACAGTTACCTCTCCAGCTCCAATCTTAGTTAAGGTTTTCCCAGAAAAATTAAGGTATGAAGGAAAAACTTACTGCCCTAAATTCTTTTCCTTTTTTTTTTCTGGACTCCTAATGTGTTTAGGGACAGGGTTGGTGAAAGCCTATACTCATTCAGGGTTCTGAGCCTAGGATGAGCAGCAGGAGATATAGGCAAGATTCATGTAGCTTAAAATTAAGGTTTTGAGTGCATTGGGAAGGCACTTGTAAGCGGACTTTCTCTGTCCCACCAGCCATCTTCCAAATAACCACATAGAGACTTATTATTTATAAATGCTCAGTTGATAGTTTAGGCTTGTTACTAACTAGCTCTTACATCTTAAATTAACCCATATTTCTTATCTATGCTCTACCACATGGTGGTACCTTTTTTCAGCATGACATGTTCATCTCCTGCTTCCTCTGTGTCTGCCTGGCAACTTCTTCCCAGCATCCTCTCAGTTTAGCTCTCTTGCCTAACCTCTTCCTGCCTATTGGCTAGTCAGCTCTTTATCAAACCAATGAGAGTAATACATATTCGGTGTACAAAAAGGATTGTTCTGTAGCAGGCGCTGAAGCAGTTACTCTGCCTAGGTGAAATTATACACCAAGATACATTTGATGGTGTAGCACTTGGCAGTTAACTTCTTTGTTGTCAATACCAAATTATCATGTGCTAAGCAATTACATGAATCATTGTCTTTTATTTATTTATCTTTATTTTTTTATTTATTGTATTTTTGAGGCAGGATTTCTTTATGTAGCCCTGGCTGTCCTGAAGCTAACTATATAGACCAGTCTGGCCTTTCACAGAGATCCTCCTGCATCTGTCTCCCAAGTATGGGGATTAAAGGTGTGTGCCAGTATGCCTGGCTGAATCATTGTCTTTTATTAAGTAATTTTAGCTGTTGAGTTAAGGGCTAGACTCCTTTGCTCTAATGAGCAAAACCTGATTGCTTTCAAGTATTAGAACAGAATAAGTAAGTATTGAAAAAATTTTCCCTATTCATTAACTGCTTTATCACTCAACATTTTTTCTGCTTCTTAGTCTTCATGGCTATCTAGAATTCATACTTCTGAAAGACTTGTCATTTTGCTCTAAAATTTGTCTTTGTTTTGGTTGCTTCAATTGAAATCAATTGGTCAATGTTTAATATCTGATATATATATATATATATATATATATATATATATATATATATATATATATAAAAATTAAGGTCATATTTAAGTCCATGAATTGTGCACCTACTGTGTATGTGTTTTTTCAATGAAGATGATAATATTGGCAAACTTATTCTTATATTTTACGCATGGGGGTGGGGGGCATGCATATACCACAGCATGCATGTGGAGGGCAAAAGATAACTTGTAGGAGTTAGTTCTCTCCTTCCACAATGTGAGTCCCAGGGTCTCCAACTCTGGTCTTATGGCTTGAAGCACTCTTTGTAGCCCTGGCTGTCCTGGAACTCTCTCTGTAGACCAGGCTGGCCTCGAACTCAGAGATCCACCTGCCTCTTCCTTCAGAGTGCTGGGATTAAAAGCATGCACCACCACTACCCAGCCAGAAGCACTTTTTTTTTGCATGCAAAGCCAACACATCAAATCTAGCACATATTGAGGTTTTTGTTTTGTTTTTAACGTTATTCATTTATTTGTTTTGTTTTTTTGAGACAGGGTCTCTGTAGCTGTAAGTTTCAGTCGCCCAGCCCCTTCTCCAACTCCTTATAAGAGTTTAGTCCAAGGTCATGGGCAGAGAAAATACAGGTCTCTCTACATAATCTTGACTGGCCTGGAGCTTACTGCCTCTTTAGTTCTGGGATCTAAGGCATGCACCACCATACCTGGTTTGTTTTTTACTTTAAAGGAGGGCTTGAGGAACTGGAAAGTTAGATCATGCCCAGAAGTGTTTGACATCCATACATGAGGATCCTAATTTGATCCCCAGAACCCATGTGAAAGTGGGGCATAATGGCAGAACTTGTGAGTTGGAGGCAGAGGTTCTATAGGGCTTACTGGCCAGCCAGTCTAGCATAACTAGTGATCTGAAGGTCAGTGGAAAACTTAGTCTCAAAGGAGATGGATGGTTTTTCTCAAGATGACTCCAAAGGTTGTCTGATCTCCATGTACCACACACACCTATGACACACACCTATGACACACACCTATGACACATGTGCAAGCATAGGCAGGAGGAATGCAAGTTTGAGACCAGCCTGTGTTATTTAGTGAGTACTAAGTTGGCCAAGGCTATACATCAAGACCCTGTCTTGAAAAACCAAAACGATAAAGTAGACAAGGATGGGATTGGGTTGTGAAGGTAGATAACATGGGGCAGGCTTCCTATGCTATTTAAGGTTTTGTTTGTTTGTTTGGTTTTTGGAGACAGGGTTTTTCTGTGTAACTCTGGATGTCCTAGAACTCAATTCATAGACCAGGCTGGCCTCTAACTCAGAAATCTGCCTGCCTCTGCCTCTGCCTCTCCCTCTCTCTGCCTCTGCATGTACCACCACCACATATGAGTGTATGCATTCACAGCATGCATGTGGAGGTTGAAGGCAGCTTGCAGGAGTCAATTTTCTCCTATGATATGGGTTTTAAGGCTCAAACTCAGGCTGTAATCAGACTTTCCTTTGGGCTGCCAGCTCACAACTAATGATTCAGAGACTTCTTATTAATTATGAAAGCTCAGCCTTAGCCTAAGCTTGTCCCAATAGCTCCTACAACTTAAATTAGTCTATTTATTTTAATCTACATTCTACTGCTTAGTGCCCATCCTGCTTCCTCCCCGTCTCAGCATCTCTGCCCTTCTTCCCAGAGTTCTGTCTGTCACCAGAAGTCCCACCTAACCTTCCTGCCCAGCTATTGGCCAGTTAGCTCTATTAAACCAATCAGAAGATGTCTTGGAAAAGACACATCTTCACAGTGTAAACAGATATTCTGCAACATCAGGCTTTTGGTAGGTGTCTTCACCTGTTAAGCCATCTTGCCAGCCATAATATTCTTTTTCCCATCAGTATTTCGGTCATCTTTCCTTTCTCCTACCTCTTTTTAATTTGGTTGAAAAATACACATTTGGCCAAATGCTAAGCATTTTGAGACATTAATGATGGAATCAGTATAAAAGATTTTCAGAAATTTACTATAGTATAACTATAACAATTTTTTTTCTTTTTTGTGACTAGATCTATCTAACTCTGGCTGTCATGGGACTCACTATATAGCCAGGCTGGACTTAAACTTACAAAGATCCCCCTACCTTTGCCTCCTAAGTGCTGGGAATAGGATGTGCACTACCGTGCCTGGCAACCAAAACAATTTTTATATTGCTAGTCCCCAACAGAAGCCAATTGATTGTATCTCTTTTCTTTTCCTCCTCCTCCTGTCCTCTCTTCTTCCTGCCTCTGCCTATCTTCTGTCTTTTTATTCAGACAGAATCTTTCTATGGATCCAGTTTGGCTTTGAGCTCTTAATTCTCTTGCCTCAACACACAATGTGCTGGAATTGCAGGCTTGAACCAGCCACCACACCTGACTAGCTCCTTTTCCTGATGCTATGATTTATTTTGGATCATAGTTAAAGGATACATTCCTTTATGATAGGGAAGCCGGGGAGGCAGGATTTTGAGGCAGCTGGCTATATTTCACCCTCAGTCATGAAGCAGAAGGCCATGAAGCTTTTGCTCTGCTTTTTCTCCTCTTACTCCTATGCCCTACCCCATAAAATGGTGCTGGCCACTGTTAAGTGAGGCCTACTTTAATTAACAGAATCTAGAAAAATCCCTTCCCTTGGTGATTCAAAATCCCTTCAAGATGACAATTGAAATTAATGCCATTGCTGGGCAGTGGTGGTGCATGCCTTTAATCCCAGCGCTTGGGAGTTAGAGGCCGGTGGGTCTGTGTGAGTTCAAGGCCAGCCTGATCTACAGAGCAAGTTCCAGGACAGCCAGGGTTACATAATGAGACCCTGTCTTGAGGAAAACGAGTTAACATCACAACCACCTGTTTTTTTTCTTTAGATTTTTTTTTTTTTTTGGTGTGTATCTCAGGATAGACTGGAACTTGAAATCCTCTTGCCTCAGCCTCTCAGATGCTAGAATTATAGGCATGAGCCATATAATAGCTGTAATATAATAACTGTAAAGAAAATTGTGTCAGAAAGGAAGCATCTTATACTTATTCCTCCCATGCTTTGAGAAACTACTTAGTTTTGTTTTTGGTTTTGTTTATGGTTTTGTGTGTTTATGTGTGGATATGGATATTTATGGAGGCCATTTGCTCTCTGTCTTGTTTGAGATGGGTTCTCTTACTGACCAGCAAGCCCCAGGGATCCTCCTGTCTCATCTCCCCAACTCTGAGTGTTAGCATCATAGGCCCTGCTCTGATGTGGGCACTGGGGTGAAGCTCAGGTCCTGGTGCTTGGCCAGCGAGTGTTTTACTGACAGACTCGTCTTCCCAGCCCTGGGGTTTTGTTGGTTTGATTGATTTGTTTTTAATTACTGCTTTTCACTTGCTATTGTTTCACTTGAAGTATTTGCACAAACTTATCAAGGATCAGTCTGTAAGAATGAAAAGGGCTCTTTTGGCAGTCTACAGATAATCCACTTAAAGGCAGCTGAATCTTGAATTAAAATTCAGAGTGCTTTCAGAGTTTTAGAGCTTTAATGAAAATTGTACATTGTCATGTAATTACTTTGTGTGTTTTATTTCATCAAGCTAATAAGCACAAATGGGTACCACTCCACTTAGAAGATGTGAGACCAGACAGCCAGGAAAGACCTGGGTCCCGGAACAGCTCTAGATGTCAACCCGAAGCGAATAAACCAGCTCACAGTAATAGGAAAAATGATACACGAAGTAAGTGTCATTTCAAGAGTGCCATGAAATTCAAGTGAACATAGATTTAGTGCTTATCATTGGAGCTGTATAGAGTAAACACATCTCTAACCCTACACACCTTCAGAAGACATGTCTAAAGAATAGTGTAATTATGGCACTTAACAACAAAGCTGAATGTTCACAGTGTAACTGTCAATAACCTTATGTCTAATTTTGGTTTTATTTTAATTTTATATTTTCCTTTATATTGAGACAGGATCTCACTATTTAGCACTTATTATGTACCTGACCTCAGACTTATGATCTTCCTGCCTCAGCCTCCCACATGCTGGGATTACAGAAAGGTGCCATCACTCTGGACTTGTAGACTTTCTTATAGCCCTCTCTCTCCCCAGTGTGATCTGGCATTACACATTGCTTTAGTTGTCTTTCTCCTTAATCTCCATCATTGTCTTAATAGTTCTTTTTCTTTATCTTTCCTGACATTGATTTTTTTTTCTTTTTAAGATAATAGGATTATTATCCTGGAACTCTCTTAAGTAGACCATACTAACCTTGAACTCAGAGATTGGCTTGCCTCTGCCTCTGAGTGCTGGGATCAAAGGTGTGCATCACTACTTCCGGCAATATAATAGGATTATTTTAAACAGATATTCTTTACTTTGGGTTTTGTAATGTTTCCTTATGATTGGATTTGAATTACAAATTTTTAGTAGGAATACTTGGAATGCTTTCTTTTTTGAGACAGGGTCTCTCTATTTGGACCAGAGATCCACCTGCCTCTGCTTCCCAAGTGCTGGAATGAAAGTGTGCACCACAAACAACACTTGTCATCTAAATACTTTTTGGTTTTTCAAAGCAGGGTTTCTTTGTACAATAGCCCTTGGCTGTCTTGGAACTCACTTTGTAGACCAGGCTAGCCTCAAACTCACAGATCCACCTGGCTCTGCCTCCCAAGTGCTGGGATTAAAGGCATGCACCACCACTGCCCGGCCCTAAATACTTTTTAAAATGACATTTATGTTTAAATCACATTAAGCTTTTTGTGAGTTTATTATGGTGTGATGTAAAATAAGGCCCACTTTGGGTTGAGGAAGGAAATACCTGGTTTATCTATCTTAGATAAGATCCCATTGGGTATTGTTACCCGGACTGGTCTTGAACTCAAAATTCTCCTACCTCAACCTACCACTAGCTGGGGTTGTAGGTGTGTGCAACAATTTTTAGCAGGAATATTTTAGAGGCTGGAGAGATAGCTTAGTGGTTAAGAATGTTTACTGCTCTTGCAGAAGGTCAGTGTTAGGTCACAACACCCACAAGGCAGCAATAGCAGCAGCACACAACCACCTGTAATCCAGTTCCAAGGGACCCAGGGAGCCTCTTCTAACATCTGTGGGCTCTTCATGTGGTAGACATAAATACACACACACACACACACACACACACACACACACACACACACACACTACAAGGAATTTTAAATTGGCACTGAGGATGGAGTTATAGGGTCTAGAGCAATTGGCTCTCAGTGGGGGAGATAATGTTGCATGTCCTTACTGAGGGATGAATAGATAGATGCTAGGAGTGTTGTCCAGTGAGTGAAAGTGATGGATGATGTAGACCATCTAAATAGCACACAAGGTGACTCCATTTCACCCTCTTCTCACCAGCATCAAAAGGATGAGTTTGAAAAACTTTGTCTCTATAATTTGTTATTTTGATAATTATTGGATTATTCCAATTTAAAGTTGATGTTTTCACTCTCACTAACAGTACACAACGTCCTACCTCTTCTATTTTGGTCAGCATGTTAAGGCTCATAGTATACCTCAGTTGTAGAATATTAAGCTAGGACTCTGTTGCTCTATATTACCAAAAAAATAAATAAATGAAACAGTTGATATCACAGGACTTTAGAATGCTTATCAGACTGGATAGATGGCTCATTCCTCAGGGCCAATCAGATGGAGCGTCATTTTTTATGTTCATTGGCTACTTGTATATTTTTGTTTTGCCTGTTAGCTATTTTCTTGTTCATGGTACGTATGTTATATTTGCATACAAGAGACAGTGGACCAGGCAGTAGTGGTGCACACCTCTAATCCCAGCACTTGGGAGGCAGAGGCAGATGGATCTCTTGAGTTTGAGGCTAGCATAGTCTACAGAGCAAGCTCCAAGACAGCCAGGGCTATGCAGAAACCCTGTCTCTAAAAATCAAAAAGGAGATAAAGAGAAGAGTGTGAGAGGTGGAGTGTGTATTATAGATCCAATTCCTCTTGTTCTTCACGTGTCTTATCTGGATTTTGTGGAGGTGTGTGTGTGTGCTTTCAGTTTCTCTTTTCTTTAAAACAAATGCCTTTTACTTGAATGGTAGTATCTCTTCCTTACATGTGTTATGGAAAGTGTATTTTTAGAAGAGTTTTACATGTAAATTCAGTAGCCTTGGGACACTGTGAATGTGTATATCATAGCACATTCTTGGCAGAGGACCTCTTTGTCTTTCTAAGGTGTCATTTACTTGCTATAGAATGTTCTTTATATGCCCGGTACATTCCTTATCCCTACCCACTTATTAACCGTCCCCTTGGATTTCTTACTATGTTTAAAGATAGGCTGACTACTATCAACTAGTATAAGAGTGAGAGAGGATGTGGTAGATCCTGCCTGATAATCTTTGTACCATGCAAGTCTCAGGCAGGAAGAGCTTGGAGTTCAAGGCCAGCCTGGATTGAATAGTAAGATACTATCTCAAAATCCACAAAGGGGAGCCAGGCCTGGTGGTTAATGCCTTTAATCCCATCACTTGGGAGGCAAATCTCTGAATTCAATGCTAGCCCCAGCTACATAGTGAGACCTTGCCTGAAAAAAAAAATCCAAAAGAGATAAGTAGGGGATGACTATAATCAAAATACATTGTAAACACATGAAATAATCAAAGAATAAATAAAAGAAATTTTAAAAATCCAAAGAGAAAAAAGTGGGGGAAGGTAATTACTATGTTTTCATAGAAATGATTGTGTTATTTTATTGCAAATTTGAATATATAAAAATTTTATTTTAAGGTTGGAGACGGGATAGAGAAAAGAAAGATGATCAAGATGAAGTATCCAGTGTGAGAAGTGAGGGTGGTACCATCCGAGGTTCCACAAGAGGCCGAGGAAGAGGCCGGGGCCGGGGAAGAGGCCGAGGTCGAGGAAACCCTAGATGTATGACATGAGATTTCCCTCCCTCTTTTAAACTATATGAGCTTTGAAAAAAGTTAGCAAATATTCTCATTTTTCATAGTACCCTGTATTATGTTAATTTTTTTATATTTTTATTTGTGTGTGTGTGTGTTTAGGTGAGTGTGCCATGGTGTGCATGTGGATATCAGAGGACAAATTACAGAGTTGGTTCTGTCTACCATGTGTGACCCAGGGATTGTGCTCAGGGTATTAGACTTGGTGGATTGAGCCTTCATCTGCTAAGTCATCTTACTGACCCTTTTGCACAATGTTTCTGTTAGTTATTTTGGTTTGACAGTAAATTTGTTTGTATTTATTTATTTATTTATTTATTTATTCTTCTTTTTGGATTTCTCTTTACAGTTATGGCTTCCTTATTTTTTAACTTGTAACCTTTCTTTTACTTTATTTGTGTCCAGTGAACTTTGATTATTCCTATGGTTATCGAGAGCCAGGGGAAAGAACTGATCAGCCATTTCCCACAGAGCTTAACACCAGCATGATGTATTACTACGATGATGGCACAGGGGTGCAGGTCTATCCTGTGGATGAAACACTGCTGAAAGAGTACATAAAGCGCCAAATGTAAGTGGATGTCAGACAGGGATTTCAGTGAAGTCTGTTTCAGCAGCAAACTTACATGTCTTTGACTACTTTATCACAGTTCCAAAAATTCAATAATAAAAATTAGAGAATGAGAATATTATTTTGATTTTTTTCTAGGAGACAGTGATAAAATAAGTGTCTGCAAACTTTTCTCCACATTCCTGTCATTTTCCTAAGACTAGTTAAAATGTCATTGCATAATTAATGAGTAAATATCAAAAAAAGTCCATAAAAATTCTACATATTATTTGAAATTAAGTAAAACTTGTCTCCTTTGCAAATAGATGTTTACATTAAAATTTGTAAATGAGCTGGGTATGGTGGTACATGTCTGTAACTCCATCTCTGGGTAGCTAAAGCAGAATTGCTGTGAGTTCAAAGCTAGCTTGAGACACAGAACAAAACCCTATCTCATATAAAAAATAACAAAATAAAAACACTTGTAAATGATAAAATGGTGCCCAATGTCTTTTAATTTTGATTTCTGCATTGTCTCTTTTAATCTTTGAAGCTCTTTAGCTTATGTTCTAATTTCTTTGTGACGTCTATTAAATCAATGTTTTAGTTCAGACCTTAGTTCTCTGTAATAGTTTTCTAGCCCTCTGTTTGTTTCAAATATGCATTGTGAGTATTTTGATGATAGGTTTGTAATGACAAAAAAAGAGAAACCTTCCCAAGTGATTTGTGTAACCAACTGGATAAAGCCTTAATTATTTTTCTTTCTTGCATGGTAAAGGAAAATGGACTATTTTTGAGAGGGCATAAGCATTTAAAAAACAGCCATTTTTATAAAAAAGAAACTGGACCCTCCTCTGTGACTAGAAGTTAATTTCTTCATTGGCATCAGCCAGGCCCTTTGGTAGCCTTGGTGGTAGATGGGATGGACTCTCAGTGCAGAGCAACTTGCTTATTTTGTTCTTGCTTCCTTTGTTAGGGTTGAGGAAAGGGCCTTTTTATGGCCAGAAAGTGCCTGCCAACTTCATACCATTATCCTGGTTTTTTTTTTTGTAACTCTTACTGCTAGGTCCCTTCTAGACCTGACAGTGAACAAACATGCAACTCCATGTCAGGATATTCGGCCTCCACTGTGCTCATGCGGGTGAGGGAGGAGCAGAGCTGCTTCCTTGTTGACAGTTTCTGGTCATGCAGTGTAGAATGCAGAGCTGCTAAGGTAGGACATGTATGTCCCCAAGGACACTGAGCAAAATGTCAGACATTAGTCAGGACTCCTTTTTATTGTTTCAGGGATTTCAGGCAGGGATTTTGGCAACACCAGTGGAGTATCAGTTAGGGAAGCTGGTTGGCACTCTGCTCAGTGGAGCTGTGGCCTTAAGGAGCCCTGCTTTAGACTTCTTGTTTCTAGGCGACTACTTAGAGAAGGAATCTATCTGGGATTGTTTGTTTTTAAGTTTTCATTGTGCTTTGGTGCTAAATAAGTTTTACTAGTACCACACTCTAACCAACTAAGCTAACTAGGTAGCTGAATAAATTTTAAGGTAATAAGCTTCACTATTCCTAATGGGTAGTCTCAACCACTTTAAATGAAATTTTTATATCAATAATAATAATAATAATAATAATAATAATAATAATTTATTTCTCCTTTTGTGATAGGCATTCATTGAGCCCAGGCTTTCAAATTCCTGGTCCCTCCTGCCTCAACTTCCCAAGTGCTAGCTAGTTACCACACTGGGTTAAATTTTAAGACTGACTATTTTTTGGTGGGGACAATCTCTTGTCATTCAAATCTACAGACTTCTATGTTTATAACATAGAATAGACTATAGCAAATAGTGATTTGTGGATTTACTTATGTAGTTTTGTCTTCACAATGGATTACATTTAAAGGGAAGCTTATTACTGATTTAAGGAATTTGCATCTAAGTAAAATTTTAACTTATGACTGCGTCAGTGTCCAATATACTGTCCCAGGTTTTGTAATCTCAGGCATTTCAAGATTCTGAGGCACTGTGATTAGGTACTGAGATGCAATAAATTTTGGAATGTACAACTTGGAATTTTTTTTCATTATTTAAGAGTAAAAGATTTATTAGTGTTGTTGAGATGCCAGTAAAATAATCTTTATCAGAACTTTGCGCTTTGATTGAATTTCGCACAAGACACATTTAGATGTCCTATGTTTTAAAAGTAGGATAGTTTTCTTCCTCCCACAAGTGAAATGTTACCCCAAACCAGTTATTATTTAGTTCTTTCAAGTTAGAATTTGTCCTAAGTACCTAAAGGTTACTTACTAATGGAGTTTTACACTAAAAAAATGTGAAATCGTGTGTGTGTGTGTGTGTGTGTGTGTGTGTGTGTGTGTGTGTGTGTGTGTTCTCCTGACTTGTTGCCTCTTGAGGACTTCCTCTGGGATTGAAAAGCTGTAGGTTTGCCAGCTACACTGTATCACCATGGGTTTCTCTGTATTCTGTCTGGGATCCTGGTCTTTGTCTTTAGAGTCTTACTTTCAGTTTATTATATGGATACTGTACTTTAAATGTATGATTTCCAAATGCTTTATGAAATATTTTTTCTTCAGGGTCTCTTTATGGCTTATCTCTATACCTTGAAGTTTATAGTCTTTGGTCATACAGCCAGTGCCAGTTTACTTTCTGTCTGGGGAAAGGTTAAGTGAGTCTACACTTTCCTAACCCTGAGTTATCTAAGCATTGTCTGTATTTTTTTACTCCAGCGACTTTATGGAGTCATTGATATTTGTTTCTTAGCTATATTATATTCATCCTTTCCTTTGTTTTTAAAGTGCTGAGGATCAAATTCTGGTCTTCTAGGAGCTGTGCATGATTGTGGGTATATAAATATAACTGTGTTGTCATGATTTTACTTAGCTGTGTGCTGGTTGGTAAGGGTCTAAATAATGTCAGCGTGTTGTCAATTTAGGTTAAAAAACAAACAAACAAACAAAAAACCACCAGAGTTCCTTAGGTTTGAGTATGAGCCCACCGAAGACACTCAAGCGCACTGTTCTCCCCAGTGCATTGGAAAGTGAGTGGGAGGCAGTAAAACTGATACTTAGCTTTGTTATTTAGTGTTTAAATGAAGTAGGTAGAGGTGACTTTGTAATGGAATCTTTCAGTGAATGACTCATTGAAAAATCCAGCTTACCCAGTATGTATAGGACTAGATTCTGAACAACAACATAAACAAATGTATTTTAAAATTAGCTTTTAATTTGTTAGACTTAAGTTAATCTAGACAGTGTTAAATTTTAATCAGTATTCTATTTCTGCTTGTGTGTAAGAGAAATTGTCAATTAATCAGGGTTTTGCTTGGTCTCATATTTGTCCTGTGCTATATATATATATATATATCCTATTCTATAAGATAGTATTATTAACCAGAGGAGAATATTTTGGTAGCAGTTGTTGTAAGCAGTGGGTATATAACTATGTTGTTGAATGAGTGGATGAACTCATGTCCTTTCCTTTCTTAGTGAGTATTACTTCAGCACAGAGAACTTGGAGCGGGACTTCTTTCTTCGCAGAAAGATGGATGAGCAGGGATTCCTGCCCATTTCCCTGATTGCTGGTTTTCACCGTGTGCAAGCTCTCACCACAAACCTTAATCTCATCTTGGAGGTAAATATTCATTTAAAAAAGAATCTAAGTTATATTCAATTTTTCTGGGAGCCTAAAACTGCCCTGAAAAATAGTGCTGAAAAAGAAAAGTGGACTGTTCAGTGGTAGATTATTTGGCCTATGTACATGAGGTCCTGGGTTCATCTCCAGGAGTAGTCCCCCCGCCCCCCAAAAAGAAAGAAGAATGAAAAGTGGGCTGCTGAGATGGCTCTGTGAGTAAGGGTGCTTGCTGCTAACCCTGAAGACCTGTGTCCTATCCCTGGAACCCACATGGTGAAGGAGAGAACCAACTCCTCTACGTTGTCCTCTGACTCCACACAGCACCATGGCATATGCAAAGCCACATGGTACACAATGTGTGAGAGTGAGTGTGTGAGTGCGCGCATGTGCACACACTGGGTAAGTGTTTTTAAAAGTATGCTGATTATGGTGTTTGCTAAGACTCACTTTTGGAAAGTTCAAGCCTAAGCTACAGAGCAAGACCCTGTCTCAAAATTACCCAACCTCCCCACCCCATCTGCTAAAGAAGTATGCTAGTCATGGAGGTTCAGAGCCACTCCGAAGACTGGGGTAGTAGAATTCCTGAAGTCCATAAGTTCTAGGTCAGCTATCAACTCAATAAAAAGAATAACAAGCTGTCAATCTAATTTCCTAAAGTTCAGAGAACATCTCAACTTTCTCCTATTTTTATAAAACTTGAATGTCTATCTTTGAAAACTTCAACCTTCTTTAGTATTCTTGGTCCTTTAATCTTCTTTTAGACCGCTTTAAACTAACATGCATGCCCACGTATTAAATGTTGAATTTTCATGTGCTTTGGGAAATCTTCCATGCGCACATGCTCATTCATAGAAGCAGGGTCTCCCTCAGCTCATACTTGTTTCAAACCTGCTGTCACTGTGGAGATGAGATGGTCCATGAATTCCGATTCTCCTGCCTCTACCACCAAAGGGCTGGAATACAAGTGTGGGCTGCCATGCTAATCTGGGAAGGATAATTGGACAAAGCCTTTCTAGTTGTGACAGTACTGCTTTTATTCTGTTTTTTGTCATTTCTAGAAATTCAACATTTTTTCTCCATTTTCTACATATGTGACAGTCCCTGTGTAGCCAATCTCTTTTCTTTCTTTTTTTCCTCTCGGAGCTGAGGACCGAACCCAGGGCCTTGTGCTTGCTAGGCAAGCACTCTACCGCTGAGCTAAATCCCCAACCCCTCCAGTCTCTTTTCTACATAGCCCCTAGCAAGACTGATCTTTTGTCTTTGTAGTTTTGGTTTTTCTAGATACCACATAAACTAGTAAATCTTAGAATCTTGTAGCCTTTCTTTCTAAATTCTTTTCTTTTTTTTTTTCTTTCTCCTTTGTATAGCCCAGGCTGGCCTCAAACTTGGGATCCTCCTGCCTCTGCCTCTGCCTCCCTAATGCTAGTCTTGCAAGTGTGAGGCTGCTTATGGACTTCTCACAGTACTTTTGAGGTTGCTGCTTTGTTGCATGCTTCAGTATTTTTTTTTTCATGTTGCTGACCACTCTTCTGTATCATGTACTGATTGGTGATTGTGCTCCATTTTTGGAGATTATAAGGTCTGTATGTGAACGTGTTTTGATTTATGCTGGGTAAATTTCTAGGACTGTGGTTTCTAGGATATGTAGTAAGTTGCTCTGATTTAGTATTGTGTACATAGGTAAACATAATGAATCAGTTTCTTTCCCTTAAAAAGGTAGCCCAGGCTGGCCTAAAACTCACAGAAATTCTGCTTCAAGCCTCCTGTGTATTGGGATTACAGGTGTGAGATCCAACACTTAACTCTAATTTTGATTCTTGTCCCATTACTTTCTTGCTATTGATGTATGCATTAGATCCAATCGATCCTGGTTCTATAGCTTATCTGCTGTTTAACTGTAGGTTACTTAATCTCATCTTAAACCCTGTGTTCTGAATCTACTGAATTTGTGGCTCCTCATTCCTTTCTTCTCAGGTTCTCACAGATACATATCTTTCAGCACTAAGAGATGGATCTGTGTAATATGTCATTAGTAGTTACTATTTTTTTAAAGATTTATTTTATTGTATGTATATGAGTGCTCTAGCTGCATGTACACCTTTACCCCAGATCCTACTATAGATGGTTGTGAGCCATCATGTGGGTGCTGGGAATTGAACTCAGGACCTCAGGAAAAACAGCCAGTGTTCTTAATCACTGAACCTTCTTTCTAGCCCCCGTAGTTACTGTTTTAAAAAGCCAGACATTAATTTTGCATGTAGATGAGTAGGCATGGTTAGCCATGGTGTGTGTGTGTGTGTGTGTGTGTGTGTGTGTGTGTGTGTGTGTGTGTGTCTGTGTAGATCAGAGGACAACTTCTAGGAGTTGGTGCTCTCCTTCTACCATTTGGGCTCCAGGGACTGAATTCAGTTCATCTGTCTTGGTGGCAGGTGTCTTTACCATTTAAGATAGCTCGTTAGTACAGTACTCTGTCCTCTTCTCCTCCTCCTCCTCCTCCTCCTCCTCCTCCTCCTCCTCTTCCTCCTCCTCCTCCTCTTCCTCCTCTTCTTTTCTTCTTCTTCTCCTTCTCTTCCTCCTCTTTTTCTTCCTTCCTCTTTCCTCCTCCTTTCTTCTTCTGAGACAAGGTCTCTGTAGTCCCAGATGGCCTTGAACTCAGAGATCTGCCTGCCTCTTACTCCTTGAGTGCTGGGATTAAAGATGTGCACCACCACTGTTTTTTTTTTCTTCTTAATAACTGTATCATGAAAAGAAAAAAAAGATCCAGTTGATCAACTAGTCAGAGAGAACTTTGGATGCCCCAAAATATCATTGTGCACAGGATCTCATTTGGGTCAAGATTATCAGACTTTGGGATTTATAAAAATGTCAGGTTTTTTTTTTTAGATCTTTACTTGAACCTTTTGCAGATAGTTGTTCTTTTTAGAATGCTGTTTGCTTGTTTCTTTGACACAGGGTAGTCTCCTTAGTGCTGAGATTATGGGCATGTACTATCATGCCTGGCCCTTGGTGGAGATGTATTCTGTCATTTTTTAGAAGGCATGATAGTGAATAGTTAATTTCTTTTCAGTTTGATTCCCCCCTGTTGATTTGCTAAGGACAGAATGTAAAGCTTTGTGTGTGGTACCATGGGTTGTTTTCTTTATAGGGAATAAATTCCACAGGATCTGTAACAAACAGTTTGTTTCATCTTTGGCCAGTAATCAGTCAGTTGTTTTCTTGCTGACAATCAGTGTGATTTCTTTTTTGTATATTCCTCTTGAGATAGGATTTTGTATAGCCCAGGCTTAACTAGAACTCATATCAGATGTGTAACTTTGGATAATCTTAAACTCTTCATTCTCTTACCTCTACCTCCTGAGTGCTGGGATTACAGGCATGTATCACCATAACTGCTTTCTCCAGGGTTCTTGTGAGCAGACCCAGGATATCTGTCAGAGTATTAGGGAAGTACTCTAGCAAGTGAGCTGTATGTGTCTTCAGCCTCCTTTATCCACTTATTTTTTGACAGCTGAAGTTGGGAAGTACTGGGTTTCATATAGCCCAGCCTAGCCTCAAGCTCACTATGTGATCTAGAATGACTTTGGGAACTTCATCTACCTCCATTTATTATCTTCCCCCACTTCCTGAGTTTTGTTTTTGTTTTTTGTTTGTGAGACTGGGTCTTAATCTATGATTTTAGCTCTGGCTGGCCCAGAGCTTGCTCTGTAGACTGAGCTGGCCTCAAACTTGGCACAAACTTCCTGCTTCTGCCACCTGATCACTGGGATTATAGGCATGGGCCAACATGCCTGACAAATTGGGTTCTATTCCTAACACTAATTCGTGGTTATTTTTAGGCATAGTAACTGTATTAGTCTACTAACTTGAAGCTTTGTAATTTTTAGACTAGAAATATAAGGCATACAGCAAAGACCTTTTGAATGTCACTTTTATAGCTTAAATTGTCTGTTGTCAGGCACTGAAGGATAGCACAGAAGTAGAAATTGTGGATGAGAAAATGAGGAAAAAGATTGAACCAGAAAAATGGCCAATCCCAGGCCCTCCTCCTCGAAATGTGCCACAAACAGACTTCTCTCAGTTGATTGATTGTCCGGAGTTCATACCAGGCCAGGCCTTTGGCTCCCATACAGGTAACTGCTTTTCTTCTAGTGCAAACAGTGTAACAGAGGACTGTTTGATGAGTTTGCCTATCTATTTGTAGTTATTGAGCTTTCATAGGAAAACTAAAGCTAATTAAAAGACTGCTGGTCTTCCCAATCCTGCTTATTTTATCTCAGCTAGACTAGAATTATGCAGAATCATACGTAAAGCTCTATTAATGTTTCTTGAGCTTAGATTTTGTGTGTGTTGTCTTTTGTGGGCTTTCTTCCTATCTTCTTTTAATTCTACTAAACGACTATATATAGTGCCACTTTTCTCCACGTAAAACCAAAAGAGCCAAAATTTGTGCTCAAGAGTGGGCTGGCCTTCCTTTACTCTTGTTAGTAATGTACTTTAATCTTGTCTTGAAAATATAAACAAATGCATATTCTAAAATAGCGTTGGGATTTTCTTTAGCCTTGCTTCTCTTGAGTTTCCAAAAACTTCATTAGTGTTAAGAATTTTTTACCTGGTTCATTTTGAAGATAATTGCTCTTGGGAAAAATATGTGTGCTTAACCTTTTTTCAGTCAGGGTGATGATCTACTGATGCTCTTGGATGTCATATGATCGGAATGTACAGTGGAGTAGGTGACTCCCTGAAATACCATGTAAATATGAGAGCAAATCGTGCTGCAGAAGTGAAAGTGACCATACTGTCTTCTGTGGAAGAATGTCTACGCCCACCCCCTTGTGGAGAAGGTTGGGCCAGCCTGCAGTGGAGATAACCACCTTTACGATAATGATGTGAGACAGACCAGAGGACTGCTGTTGTTACTGTAGGAGCTTCTCCTTTCTATGTCATTAGCTTAGGCTGCACGGGCTACTTCATGGTGGGAAAGTTAATTGTTATCATTGGGGAAATACTGCAAATTCTATCTTTTGTTTCCAGGCATTTATACTTTGCCCAGATCAATAAAGCAGAAAAAGAGAGGATTGAGTAGCATTTCCAAAATTGTTAGGTCCTTTGCTATTTGACTTGCTCTTTAATATAGTATACTTTGCATAACTCACATGTTGTCATATTTCACATGTACTATAAGATGTATTAATGTGAATACTTAAGGGGTAAGAAATTTAAGTTAAATAAATAAGGGCATTTTTCCTTTATGCTTCAAAATTGTTATTTAAGGGATTTTCTTTTTGTTGTTTTATTTATGATTATTGTGTATATATGATATGTGTGTTTGAGTGTGGGCACATGTGTGCCATGGTGTGTGTGTGGAGGTAAGAGGACAACTTTTGAGAGTTGGTTCTTTATTTCCACCGTGGGGATTCAGGTATTAAACTCAGGTGGTCAGATTTGCACAGCAAGTGGCCTTACTTCTGAGCCATGTGCTGGCTTCAAAATTGTATTTCATACATTGGCCTGAAAGCACTGCCTGCCTATGCCCCTCATCATGAACCAGGATAAATCCTTCTTGTCAGAAATTTGGTCACAGCAATGAGAAAAGTAACTAATAAAGAAGGTTGGTACCAAGGAGTAGAGCTGTTACTATGAAAATCCTGACCATGTGGTTTGTAGGCATTTGGAACTGGTTTTTAGAAGGAATGTGAAAGACTTCTAAGCTGTAGGCTACAGAAACCTTAGGATGCTGTAAGTAGAGCTCAGTGGGCCATTCTTATTGGCTTACAGAAGACCAGTATGTCAATGAAAAAGTAGAAAATGAACATTGTGCTAAGGAGTTTCCAGAGAGGGGCAAGGACTTTGCGGGGAGCTGAGCTAAAGGCTATTTGTGTTTACTTCTGATGAAGAATCTCAGTGTATTCTGCCTGTTCCTGAAAATGTAGGTCACAGAGTGATTTAAAATTTGTTTGGCAGAGGCAATTTTTAAGACAGCATTACATTTCAGCTGAGGCATGTTTACCACTCACTGCTCTTATTCAGATCTTTAGCAGGAGTAAGCAGAAAGATTAGAAAATGTGCAGTTTGGGGAAGAAATGGGTGTGCCATCTAAAGTTGCCAGCAAGCAGGGTGCACACTAAGCTTTTGTAATTGTTAGTGCCAAAAAGAAATATCTTACAGTCTTCACTAAGACAGGTCCTGTGCCCTAAAGGCAAAACCTATGGAAGTCTCTAACTTGTGAAAATGGAAATTGATTTGAAAGAAGAGAGACTAAACTGAGACTGTGGCTGATGGGATTTCTGCTGTGTAAACAGACTCCTAGGAGAAATGTCTCCCAGGTTTGGTAGCCAAGTTGTACAAAGGTCATTTACAGCAGTGGTAGGAGGGGTCCAGACAGCATCTCAATCTGGCAGTAGAACTTGAATGCTTCATCCACTTTATGCTAGTTTAGTAGGCATGTAAAATGCAAGTTACAGTCATGGAGGTTTAGACCGGAAGCCACTGTGTGGCAAAGGAGACGCCATTGTTTAAAGCTGTGAAGTCAAGTTACAAAGTAGACTTCCAGACTGTTGGAAGCTCCAGAATTGTAGGGCATCTGCCAAGGAAAACTGGAGGAATAGAGCCATCCCATGAGAGAGGCTGTATATGCTGCAAGTGACAAAATTGGAGGAGTGGATCTGCCCATGGTCATTGGAGCCCAGATGATAGTACCACAAGCCCCAGATGCTGGACATGGAGCTTCAAGGTTTAGTGTTTGCCTGCTAGATTTCGGTCTTGCTTTGATCCAGTCTTGCCTTGCTAGACCCCATTCCTCTCTATTGGAATGGGGATGTTTACTCTGTGCCATTGTACACTGGAAGTATGTAACTTTTTTTCTGAAATTATAGAGACTCACAGTTAAAGAATTTGCCTTGCATCTCAGAAGAAAGAGACTTTGGACTTTTGAACACTGTTGGGACAGTTAAAGACTATGGAGACTTTTGAAGTGAGACTGAATTCATTTTGCTTTATGAGCTTATGGGGTTCAGAGATGAAATGTAATGGTTTAAAAGTGATTTGTTTGAGATTCAAGGTGACAAGGAGTGTACTTGTGGTTATTAACTTTCATTGACAGCTTGACTGGACATGTCTGTGAGGGCATTTCCAGAGAGGTTTAGCTGAAGAGGGAAGACCTATCCTACACATGGGCTGGGTACTTAGCCTGAGCACCAGCATTCATTATCTGTGCTTCCTGACTGCAGACGCAGTGTGACCAGCCACCTCATGTTCCCATCACCATGCCTTCCCTGCCATCATGGACTCTACCCCTCAAACTGTGAGCTAAAATAAATTCTTCTTCCCTTAAGTTGCTTCTTGTCAGATGTTTTGTTGCAGTGACAAGAAAAGTAGCTAATGTACTGCCTATCCGTGATCAGTGAGGGATCACTTCTGATATTTTTGTTTGAAAGCAGAATACTTCCTTTGTGCCTTTTCAACACTATACGGCCTAACTCTGTTAAAAGATTTTTAAATTATATTTGCAAATAGTGCACAGAATTTACATTTTACACAGAACTAGTTTATGTACAATCTGAAAGTTTCAGATGTTTTGTGCCCCATAACAGATCTTTATAGCCATAATTTTTTCTCTCTGCAATAACTAGGCTATGTTTTTAAAGAAGTGAAATTTAGGTTTCTATTCTTAAAGATTCAAATAACTGTGAAAGATTTGTTGTGTAAACCTGAGGTCCTTTTTAACCAGCTTATGAACAATTAGTTGAGAAGTTGGGTAATGTAGAAAATACTTTTTTTCTTTCTTTCTTTCTTTTTTTTTTTTTTTTTTTTTTCTGAGACAGGGTTTCTCTGTGTAGTTTTTGTGCCTGTTTGGATCTCACTCTGTAGACCAGGCTGGTCTCGAACTCACAGAGATCCGCCTGGCTCTGCCTCCTGAGTGCTGGGATTAAAGGTGTGCGCCACCACCACCCAGCAAAAAATTTTTTTTCTATGAGATAGCTAAGATAGGTCAATCAAGTTGGATATAGATTTCCGTTAACCATTTATGCATTATCAATAAAATTGCAAGAATAAAGTCAGTTTTGTACATTTTACTTTTTGACGTATTTTCATGTTCACACAAATAAGTCAATGTAAGTGTCACATTAATATAGATTCTTTAAATTGTACAAAGAGCAAATAGATGATAAATAAAGAAATAGTTATATGGGATGTTGATAGAATCATGCTGAGTCACATTAGCTCATAGGAGTACTGCTGTCAGCCACCATTTCCTCTGAATCTTCATATTCTGACCTTGTTAGTCTACTTGTAGACTGCTTGGAGAAGTAGTGTATCACTGTACATTGGAGAAGAATAAGGTAGGAAGTATAGACAGCCTTCTTATGTAACTAGGTGAAGTAAAGTAGTGAAGCTTTTATCTAATACCCTTTAATCCCAAATTATAATATCTTAATAACTTTTGATTATATTTTCTGTGCCATTTGTATGGTAAAATATTTTAATATAATTGATCCTTTTCATCACAGAAATTTAAATATCTACTTTTTCCTCTTTGGAGGTTGAATTGTGTAACATGATTTGGCATTGCCACTGAGCAGAAGATCTTAATCACCACAAAAGGTTGATTATGAGACTGGTAAGATGACTTCTGGAATGCAGGGTTTGCTGTGGGTGTGGTGTATTGTCAGCTCGTGATGTGTGAAAGAGCCTAATGGTTACTGAATAGGTTGTGGGACTTCTTTTGAAAGCTATATGTCGAGATTCTTAAAGAAATCCTCATTACTCAGAACTGCAATCACCCAACAGTGAGGGGGAAAAAAAACCACACTAGATCAAAGCATATGTTTGTCTTTGGAGAGCCAGACTGACATTTTTCATTTAATACAGAATCAGCAAAGGTAAATTGTCTACAGTCTCACAAATTGTAACGAAGGTATTATATGCCTAAATAATTTTTATCTATGTAAAGTAATGTCAGAAATTCCAAATATCACTTAAACTTTTGGTTTTAGCTTTTTAAAAATAAGTACTTTGAAGTATTTTAATTATAAAAGAAATTAGGGGTCCAGAAAACATGACAGGGCATATGGGTAAGCTTAAGCATAAAGTAAACAACTTCAAAGTTTCATTCTAATAGTATTAATTTTTTCTTTGCTAAATATTTTCCTGTCATTCCATTTCTAAGCACATAAATGTTTAGTATAATAGAACACTTCATGGTACACCCCATAATTCAAGCTTAGAAGACATGAGGAGATGGTTGTATAATAAACCATGAAGTAGGTAAAAGAAGGCTAACCTTTTGTATTAAAACCGTAACTACTGGGGCTGGAGAAGGTGGCCAGAACACTCATGTAGGGCAGCTCACAGCTGCTTCTTAACCCCAGCTCCAGGGGATCCAGCACCCTCTTCTGGCCTCCTCAGGTACCCACACACAGGTGGCATCCAGCTCCTCCCAGATAAAAATAAACATAATAAAGAACTACAATTTTGATTTTCCTATTATGGCTCTAGTTGCTGTTCTGACATTTAGACTTTAAGTATGTGTAGTTCAGTTAAATTTAATGATAGGTGTATAGGAACTAAGTCATCCCCATGGTTAACAAGATAGTGCTTCTTTGTGTTGTTTTAAAACTTCGGTCATTGTATAAATATTTCAGAGTATTAGAAAAACAGTTCTCTGGAGTTAGTGTTTTTTCCTATACTCCTCCATCAGTGTGAAAGAGTATAATCTCTTTCTTTCATTTGTATTGATTTTATGAATGAATTGATGATAAATGTATTGTTTATGGAAAATGTTGTGGAGCAACAGTGTCCAACAGTGTCCCAGGAAGGATATTCGAACCCTACATATAATTTCAAAGTTTTGAGGAACCTTGAAATATATTTGCCAGGTGTGGTGACCTTTAATCCTAAGCTCAGGAGCCATAGGGAGGCAGATTTCTGTGATTTGCAGGCCAGTCTGGTTTACCTAGCAAGTTCTAGGCCAGCAGGGCTGCATAGTGAGACTGTCTAAAGAACAGAACAAAAACAGTAACTACAAAACATTTAATTTCAGTAATATTGCCATAGATATTTTTTATTTAATATAGCCACATTATTAACACACCTAATATAAATCCTTGCTCATTTAGAACAGAAGGTACCAGGTCATTTTTAGTATGCACTTTATAACTGTCTTTAGCATATTTGAGAACTAGCCTCATTCCAAGTTCTTTGCCCCTTAAAACTAGAGTGTATTATATTGAACAAACTTTTTTTTCTTTTCTTGTGGTTCTGGGCATCAAATCCAAAGGCCTCCCATTATCCATACGCTTGCATGCCCATGCCTACTGTATTGATTGGGATATTCTTGAGGCTTTTCTATTCTCCATCAATTTGCTTCTTTAAAAACAACAGTGACCTGATGATTACATCCATGTGTCAACTGTAGCATGTTCATGGAAATAAATCTTGCAATCTTTATCACACATATTCCTGCTTTGTGCCTTTGATTTAGTAAGTAAAAGACTCACTGTCCATCTGTTTCAGCTTTCATATAACATTCACCCTGGAAGTGTTTTTAGTGAATTAACTTTGAGTAATGATGTTTACACTTTTTTTTTGGTTTTTCGAGACAGGGTTTCTCTGTGTAGCTTTGCGCCTTTCCTGGGACTCACTTGGTAGCCCAGGCTGGCCTCGAACTCACAGAGATCCGCCTGGCTCTGCCTCCCGAGTGCTGGGATTAAAGGCGTGCACCACTACCGCCCGGCGATGTTTACACTTTTTAACTATATACTTATAAAAATAAATTTTATGTGTATTCAAGGTTTAAAACAGGTTATCTTCTGACCTGGGAATGAAATTGTAACTTAAAAACACTTAGTTTTTAAACTTTTGAAAAACAATTTGGATTTTATAGAGTTTATATTTATTTTGATTAAAAAGCTGACAAGGTAAGGTAAAGAAAGGTCTTACTTTTTAGAAAAGCTTTATTATTTTTATTTTTATGTATATTTGCTTGCATGTATGCATGTATACCATGTGTGTACCTGGCACCTGTGGAGATCAGAAGAGGGGGTCAGATACTCTAAAACTGGAGTTACAGATTGTTGTGAGCTGCTATGTTGATACTAAAACCTGAAAAGAACAGCCAGTGCTCTTGTCTATTGAACCATTTCTCCATTCCCAAGAAAGGCCCTTTACATTCTCAAGGTTTTAAATGTTATTGCTGGAGCTATATGCTTTACTGTGGTGACATGTGTTTTGCAGTGTTCAACATGAAGTATGAAGTAAGTGGGCACACTGTCTTTCATGTAGGAAATGTGGGCATGGGAGTAATGGCTGCTGTAGTTTAGATCTTTGTCAATCTGTCAGGAAGTAATTTTGCCTTCACTATCATATGTTTAGACTACCTATGGTTTAATAGCAGTTGACATTCTATAGTTCAATGTGCAGGTTTTAATTGGTGACTCAATGATACTCTTGAAGATACCATGAATATAATCTTCTGCATAAGTGCTGGTGACATTCCTTTCTGCATAAGTGCTGGTGACATTCCTTCATTCAGTGGCTTTCCTTTTGAATATCTTGCAAGCCTTTTATATTTGAAAATCATGAAAAGGTTTTGAAATTGATTATCATGTTTTTGTGCAGGAAAATCCGTATTAAGGCAAAATGAAATGCAGTTTATAGGTAAGAAGAACCAGTATTTTAATTGCAGAACTGATTTAAAATTTTAGAGTCTGCCCCAAACTCTCCAAGAACTGGAAGTCCACTGAGCCCAAAGAAAAATACCGAAACAAATACTCTCCGAGTGGTGTCTAGAGGTTTGTCTACCAGCTTACCTGACCTGGACTCAGAACCATGGGTAGATGTGAAAGAGAGGCATCATCCATCCACAGTGACGTTAAAGGTAAGTTTACAAACCCAATGAAATGTGTACCTCCAGTATAACAAGTTTTCTGTTTGTCATACATAGGTTTTTCAAGGTTTTATAAAAATTTGGGATTGTGGACTTCAAGAGAAACTTGGGTTACTTTTGTTAAAAGTAAATTATATTTTCTCTTTTTAAATATTTATCTTTCATTTTTAACATAATTTGAGAGTACTTTGATTTGGTCTTTTTATTTATGACTAATTTTTTCTTATGTGACTAGTTTAAATTTGAATGATACTTCAATTTTTGTGAAGTTGAAGAATGTTCAGATTTTGAAGTTATATCATTATTTGTAAGGCTCTTAAAGCACATTGCATGCTTCAGTATGTTAGAGTGAATCAATGTTAAAAAAAAAAAAAGCAAAAAGCAAATGGATTTCTTGGTGAATGAGAGACTTATAAAAGGACCAGAGGAAACTGCCTTGCATTTTTGACTGGTGACTGATGCATTACTTACTATAAATTGTTGTTACTTTTAACCAAATAACTAATTAGTACAAGTAAAAGTTGGAAAACCTAAGTAAAATTGTTGGCTTATGTGGGTGTAAGTAATTTGTCTTGTGGTAGTTGCACTGGTTTTATGGACTAGTGGGTAAGGGATGGTTGACACAATCTACTATTTCTTACAACTTTGTGAATGTATAAAAAGCTTGCCACAGTTTGGAAGAAGAGAATGAATGCTGGGATGTTAAAGGCTTATAAACAAGGTTCTTTCTCCTGGAGACCAGAGGTACAGAGAGGAAGCTGGGATTTCAAAGACTCTTCACTGTACATCTGCCCATGTTAGCAAACACTTTTTTGTTGTTGTTGTTGTAACTGGGAGGGTGTTGTAAGCTGGGAGGGTGTCTAGTGAAAGCCAGAAGTCCTGTTGCTGACCCACAGTGCTAAGGGCCCCACATGTTCTAAAATATTACAAGTCCAATGTCAATAGGCTTAAGAAACCCTAATAAAAGGTAACTTCTTTTTCTTTTTTCTTTTCTTTCTTTTTTTTTTTTTTCCGAGACAGGGTTTCCTCTGTGTTGTTTTGGTGCCTGTCCAGATCTAGAAGTAGGCTGGCCTCAAACTCACAGAGATCTGCCTGCCTCTGCTGGGATTAAAGGCGTGCGCCACCACCACTCACTTCTTTTTCTTTTTTTATTCTAATACTAAAAATACAATTCAGAGCTTCAGGTATGCTAGACTAGTGCTTTGCCACTGAGCTACATCCCATTCCCCCAAAACAATTAGACAAGTGTATTTAAATGTTGTCAGAAAATCACCACATTCCAAAGTGTGGACTCCAAATGGCTAAAACATCTTTGGGAAAAGTCAGGCCATCTCAATATCTCACAGCCTTCCTGGGTACTTGTGGGGGACAGTATTCCTACACTAAGGCATGAAGACGGAACTATATTTTACTCAATTTGATATCCCCTTATCTAAAATGTCTACATTTCAAGATTTACTTGCCCAGTAGTATATGAGATTAAAGTTCATCTTAAAGTTGATAATCATGAAAAACATAAAAATCAATTTTTATTTGTGTGTCTGTACATGTAGAATGTGAGATAACAACTTCAGTAGTCAGTTCCCCCAGACTAGTGGTACTTAGCAGTATTAATAAATTGTAGATTTCTTTTGTGGCTGTGATTACAGCCTATTCACCCTTGGGCAATTTTGTTGAATGTCAGGTACACCCAACCCACACTTTTGATTAATGAAAGTTTCCACAGATTTTGGACTTCTGTCCTACACCTTGGCAGAGAACGGGCATGCTGACTCTGGATCTCAGCCATTACAAAAATAAGGAGTATTTTTCTCAGAGAGGTATAATTAGTTTTTGTTTGTTTGTTTGCTTGTTTGTTTTGTCGATGAGCTCATATTTTGTCCTCCTGCCCCTGCTTTGACTAGTTGAGAGCAGATGTTATAAAGTTTCATGTTCTCAAATAAAGGACAGGACTGATTGCTTGTGGTTGGTTTTCCAAATGTTTACTTTGATTGCTACCCACTGTCTGTTCCTGCTCTGCCTTTTAGGATCCTGGTGAGCATTGCCTTCTGTCTCTTTGCTGTAATCCTGGCTGGGTCTGAGAGGCTCATTCTTGTGTCAATCTTATCAGTGTAATCACATGGGCTTTATGCTTTCTAGAAACTCAGTTTATGACCTGATAATTATTCATTGTTGATAAGTGGATGTATTTACACATTATTGTATATCATTATTGAACATAAACATATAGTTAGGTCATGTCCAACCCCAAATCTCTTTTAAATCTATGTATGTATGTATGTATGTATGTATGTATGTATGTATGTATCTATCTATCTATCTATCTATCTATCTATCTATCTACCTACCTACCTACCTACCTACCTATCTATCTGTTTATTAGTGGGGAGGTCAGAAGACAATTTGAGAAAGGAAGTCAGTTCTCCACTATATGGGTTGTGGGGATTGAACTCAAATCATCAGACTTGGAGGCAAGTACCTTTTCCTGTTGAGTCTTCTTTTTAGCCTCAACCCAAAATCTCTTACTCATTTCTTACAAGTTGAAAAAAAAATGCATTTGAAGGATAAAGTTAAAAAGTGAAAGCTTTTGCTGGGAGGTGGTGGTGCACACCTTTGATCCCAGTACTTGGGACACATTGGCAGGTAGATCTGAGTTTGAGGACAACCAGAGCTGTTACACAGAGAAACCCAATGTGGGGGAAGTGTTTATCCAGAGTTTACCATTATTAATAGTTTGGTATTTGATCACTTAGGCTTTTCTCCCCATATACTTACATATAGCCTTTAAAAATATTAAGCATTATTTACTTATCTATTTATTTATTTATTTGTTTTCAAGACAGGGTTTCTTTGTATAGCTGTGGCTACACTAAAACTCACTCTGTTAACCAGGCTGGCAGTAAACTCATAGAGATCTGCCTACCTCTGCCTTCTGAGTGCTGGGATTAAAGGTGTGTGTCACCACCACCTGCTGTTTATTTATTTATTTATGTGTATAGGTGCATAGCCCGCCTTTATGTGCATGCACCACATGTGTTTAGTGCCTTAAGAGGCCAGAAAAGGGCATCATATCCCCTAGAACTTGAGTTACAAATGGTTGTGAGACACTGTGTGGGTGCTAGGAGTTGAACTCTGGTCCTCTGGAAGAGGGCTCAGGCTAAGGAGATGACTGTATTGATAAAGTGCTTGCCTCACAAGAACTCAAATTTGAATCTCCAGCACTGTGTAAAAAGTTAGGCTTGATCTCACTGGACCCCAGTTTTTTATTTTTCTCAATGCTCAATATCGATCCTAAGACAAATTTGCCAACACTGAACTGTACCCCCAGACTATTTATTTGAGACAGGATCTCAGGTAGCCCATTCTGGCCCCACTGGCTCTGTAGCCAAGGCTGACCCTAAAATCAAAATAGGGGTCTGGAGAGATGGTTCAGTGGTTAGTTAAGAGCACTTGCTCTTCAGGTAACCCAGGTTCAACTCCCAGCACCCACATGGCAGCTCACAATTATCTGTAACTCCAGTTCCTGGGATCCAGTGCCCTCTTCTGGCCTCCTTGGGCACTGCAGGCAAAACATACATATTAAATAAACAAAGGTATATATAGATAACAACAACAAAAAGTTAGGCATGGTGTTGTATACTTGTAATCCTGCTTCCAGGGAGATGGAAACAGGAGGATCAGTCTACCCAGAACCTCTTCCTCTAGGTTAAATGAGAGACTCCGTCTCAAAAAATAAAGTGAAGGGGCTGGAGCCATGACTCAACAGTTAAAAACATTGGCTACTGAGGACCTGAGTTAGACTTCCAGCACCCACATAGTGGCTCACACAATCATCTGTAACTCCAGTGCCAGGGGATATGATGCCCTTTTCTGGCCTCTGCAGGCCCTGCAAACAGGTAGTGTACATATATAAAGACAGGAAAAGCATTCATACACATGAGAGAGAGAGAGAGAGAGAGAGAGAGAGAGAGAGAGAGAGAGAGAGAGAGAGAGAGCAAGCGCAGCAACCCTGAGTTAGGAAGAATCTGTTTAAATTCAGGAACTAGTAATAATAAAAAAAATAAGGTAGAGAACAGTTGGTGACCAAAGCATGTACATGTACACATATATATACATATATCAGACATGTAAATATGATACACATAGTCTACATTTTATAAAGTATATTCACAAGTAGACAGCTTTCCTAGAACAGTGCCTGGTTCACATTATCAGCTGACTGACTAGAGATCTACACGACTCAGCACTCTGACAGAAAGGGATTGCTTTGTTTTAGACATGGAATTATCTTGAGCTGGAAGATGAAATTGATCAGAGAGTGGCATGGGGCAGCAAAGCAGAAGTGTTGGGTATGCTGAGATTTAGGCTAGGTTAGATGTTAGACACTGCCAGCAGGTGTCTAGAGGCAGAGCTTGGGTGTGTTGTGTCAACCATAGCTACTTTACATGAACATAGGGACAGAGTGTACATTTTAGCATTAAAGCAGATATAGTATGAAGACAGCTCCACAGGAGATAAGGACAGCAGAAGAGGTGACCTGTGGGTGCCAGGCACACACATTGTGCACATACATACATGCATTGTGAGATATAAGGCTCAGACATGGCAAGCTTACTAACTCTAAACCTAAAAGGCTTTGTTTTCCTTGTCTTTCTGAATGCAGAGGAAGTAATTCCCATGTCTAGGCCTCAACTTCCTCATGACTTAGTAAGTCAGCGCCATGTTGTAGATGGTCTAGGGGCCACCCCAAATCTAGGGAGTCTATTTCAATCCTTTTACTCAACTTTGTGTTTTTCCCATTCAAGACAAAAATACTGCTTAGCTTCTTATTAGAATTTGCCTACTCTGATACAACATTTGTCCTAAAAGAAAAAAAATCAAAAAGTTTTTATGTAGGAAAAAAGTTTTTAAATATATATATATATATATATATATATATATATATATATATATATATATATATATATAACTACTTTGTTTCTTTAGGAATCAATATCTGTACCTGAAGAGACATCAAATCAACTAACCTTTCCAGAAGAACCAGAACAAGAAGAACGTGACTTTTTGTTTGATGAAGAAATGGAACAGACAGAAAGAAGGAAAAAGACATTTAATGATTGGTCTGATAATGATTCAGATTATGAAATTGATGACCAAGATTTAAACAAGATTTTGATCATAACTCAGACACCACCTTATATGAGAAAACACCCTGGAGGAGATCGAACAGGCACCCATGCATCACAAGCAAACATTACGTCAGAACTTGCTGAAATGATTAGTGATGGCTTGTATTAATTACTCTGAACAGGACCTGTGGACGGAAGGTGAAAATACACGCACAGCCATAAAGGTAACAATTTCCGGTGAGCATCTTTCTGCTGGTAGTTTGCTTGGATTGCATGGTATTACTTGTTTTCTTAAATTTGAGAGTTTATTTCATAAACTTTGGAGTATAAATAAATTATACCCAATTTGAAAATTCTTGGAAATATATTTGATAGTCACACCTTAGGTAATTTTAAGTGATAATATATGAATACTGTCAGCATCAAAAAATAATATTTGCTGACTAAAACTTGTGGAAAAATGTAATTTCTCATTAAGGAATAAAAATGTTGCTATGGACAGGCCTACTTGATATGCTCATTCTATTCTCTTGCCTTTTACCCCAGATTCTGGCCTCTACCTAAGCTAAGGTAGAAGAGAGAACCAGAATAGCTGTCTAGCCTCCAAATCTCTTTAAATTGTAGGAGTGTAAGGGGGTCTTTTTCTGCTGTTACACTTTTCAGAGAAGCTTCAAAAGTTAAATACGTGAGGGAGTGATGGAACAGTGAGGGGAAGTTACCTCAAATAGGAGAGTGAGCTTAGAAACCAAACAGCTGTAGAAAGAGAAGCTGCCAGCTAGTGCTTTAACAGAGGGAACTGCCTATCATGGGCTTGTGAACAAGAGACATGATCTCCTTGGAATTTCCATTACTGCTTTTAGCCACTGGCTTTTTAGAGAAACTGCTTCAGGTATATCATGTCAGATGCCCTAAAGCCTGGACAGTTTTCTACCTGTCTTGCTCCTGTGGGAAAAGAAGTATGTTTTCATGAAGTTTAGATAGTAGGGTTTTATGTAAAAACACATTTATGTGTGTGGGGGGGGGCGGCAAATTCACTCACGTCTCAATGCAAGTGTGGAGGTCAGGGGACAACTTGAAGGAATTGATTTTTTCCACCCATGTAGGTCCTGGGGATGGAACTCAGGTCCTCAGGCCTGACAGCAAGCACCATTACTTGCTGAGCCATCTTGCCACCCCTGAATTTTATTTCTGATGCTTGTTTCTGGAGGTGATGCTTAGCTGAAGTCATTTTTGTAACAGAAGTATAAATATATTCTACTAATTGCTGGGCCTGGGGGCACAGGCTTGTATAATCCCAGTTATATGGGAGAAGCCAGTAGGAGCAGTACAAGTTCAAGGGTAGCCTGATCAATGTCACAAGACCCTGACTCAAAATAGGACTCAGGGTATATAGCTCAGTGGTAGATGATTAGCATGATTGAGGCTATTCCATGATGAAATCACTGTCCTTGGTTCTAAAAGAATAAACAGATTGTCAGATTAGGTAGTCAGAATGGGCCTCTCTCTGAAAAGAGTCAAGATAGAGTGAAATCAGAAATATAAGAATGAAACATGCAAAAAGCAGGAAAAAGTATTCCAGGAAGAGGAGTCAGTGAAGTGTCAGTGATCTGAAAAAGAACTACTGGCAAATTCGAGGTACCAGTTTGCCCATAGCTGTATCAGAAGATAATTATGGTTGTGAAGGCAGAGTCAGATTAGAATAGAATTTGTAGACCATGTTAAATATTGTGGAATTTATTGTAAGTTCAAGTGCAGGTTTACAGAGACACTGTGACATGATCTTATTTTTATCTTTGAAAGATCACTGTGGTCCAGAGGACAGACAATAGGTTATATGGGGACAAAAGTGAGAGGAAGCTGTTAACAGGCTCCCTATAGGAGATGGAAAATGGTAGTCTTAGTTCAACTGGTAGCACAGGAAATACAAAAATGAGAACTATGTCTGAGCCTTGATGGATAAGAGAGAATAATCAGGTGTGTCAGAAACTGGATGGTTGACTAGGTAGGAGTGCAGAGCATGCCAAGACAGCGGAGCAGTTTTAATGAAGTTTTGGTGGTTCCAGAAGCTGTGTTGAACTGGTGTGACAAGGGCAGGCTCACATATCTTTAATGGTAAAGACCAGTGAGATAACCACATGATAGATGGTGAGATGCATCTTAAAATCTCCAAAGTTGCTGGGCAGTGGTGGCGCACGCCTTTAATCCCAGCACTTGGGAGGCAGAGCCAGGCGGATCTCTGTGAGTTAGAGGCCAGTCTGGTCTACAGAGTGTGCTGACCCTGGAAATTTCTCAAAATTCAGTAAACTCCACTATATAAGTTGTGGTTGTGGGGGACTGTATTCATGCTCCCTCCCCAAATTAAAAAAAATAAACAAACCAATAACAACAACAAAAAACGTTAAATAGATTCTCATCAAAAGAACTTAATTTGCCTTTTCACCTAGTCTCCTAGGAAATAGGCATTTTTTTGGTTGTTTTAAGCAGAATAGGGAAGGAAAAAATTACACTTAGAGGAGTATCCTGCAGCTCAAGTATATTGCCTGAGTGACTGATATGACTGGGGGCTGGAGAGATGCCTCCACAGTAAGAAGTACTTGCTGCTCTTCCAAAGAACCTAGGTTTAGTTCCCAAAACCCTCTTCCGGCCCCTTCAGATTCCAGGCACACATGTTGAACATTCATTCATGCAGTTGAAACACTCACAGAATAAAAGTAAATAAATCTAAGGAAGGAAATAAGGTGGAGAGCCTCCTCATGCATGTGTATAGACATGTACATGCATACAAAGACACATAAATCATACAAAAATATTAAATATGTTTTAAAAAGTTAATGTGATCCTATCAGTTTCACAGGTGCCTACTATTAGCAAATTTAGATCAGTTTGAATCAACTTTATTCCTGGAACACAAGGTATTTACTCAAAATTATTTTATAAGGAAACAGCACAAAGTTAATAATTAAACTAAATGAAATATCACATGTGAGAATGAGCAAAAGTATGGCACAAGAAGATCATACCTTAAAGTAATTGATAATGGAATTATTAAACAAATGTAGATAACCTATGTTTATTATACTTAAGGAAATAAAAACTTATTCAAGGGTAGAGTGTGGTGGCACACAATCCTAGGAAGCAGAGGCAGGCAGATCTCTTTGAGATAAAAAAAAAAATCCAAATAATAAGCATGGAAGTCAGTCGATGAGATTAGCAGCAAATTAGATTCAGTAGAAAACACAAAGACTCCACATGGGAGATTGAGAACCAGAAGCAACATGAAAAGCAGGTGCAAAGGATTTTTTTTTGTAGTGCATACCATTTGCTTTTGTTTCAAATCACTTTTATAATCTAATATTAAGTAGGCTTTACTATAAAGCTTTTATTTTAAAAAAAAGCAAACATGAGCTAAGTACAAACTTGAAATACAGGGTGACAGAGAATAGGAAATGGTAAGAAAGAAAGGACATGGACTGGTTTGTTTAACACAAATATTTAAGTGGCTGAAGTAAGCAGGTTGTCAGAGTTTATCTAAGTACAGCCAGTTATTTACATGCAAAACATTGAAGAGACAAAAGCAGAGATGGACTAGCATCCAGATGGCTTTTGTGTTGTGTGTGTGCATGCAACAATTTACAAGGTGATCTGAAATTCATGTGAAAATTTAAATAATTCAGAATAGTCAAAACAATCTTTACATAAAGATCAAAGTCAGGCTGTGGATGCTCCTCACTGGGAGAATGCTTACCTGGATTTCTAGCAACTCTGTATTGTATTTTTACCACAGCATTCAGCTTTGTTCTTAAAACTTACTAAAAAGCTACAGTTACCAAGACAGTAGTCCTGGCATAAGCATAGACAGATGGGTGATTGGAATATAATTGAGTTCAAATAAAATAATCACATGTGTCAGAAATTCTCAAATGTTTATCAATCAAGTACATTTAATGGGGGAAGAATGTTTGTAGTGGTGGATCATCTGGATATCTACATGCAAAATAATGAAGTTGGTTGGGCCCTTTCAGATATCAGATATAAAAAAGAAAAAAAAAAACCCTAATTCAGGCTGGGCCCTGTGGCTTATAATCCCAGCACTTGGTAGGTGGAGGCTGGAGAATCGGGAGTTCCAAGTGATCTTCAGCTACACAGAAAGTTTGAGGATGACACCCTAATCTCAAGAATACAAACAAAAAAAAATACAAAGCAAAACAAAAAGATTACTATGATTAACATGAAACAGGTTTTCTGTTTGGCATTGTTTTGTTGTACTGAGAATGGACACTGGCACTCTTACCTCTAGCCTTTCCTGATCTTCACAAAGCAGAGAAGGAAATATAGTAAAGAGAAGTTGTTGGAACAACTGGAGAGTCACATACAGAATAATCTACATGCAAACTCACATCCTTGATGGAAATTAATTCCATAGATTTTATACATAAATGTAAAATAAAGATTATAAGAGAAAATCTTGGCCTTGGAATTGGCATGATTTTTGTATGACACCAAAGTTTTATCTATGAGAATGATCTGTGAGCTCTGGACTTCATTAAACTTAAAAACATCTGCTTTGTGAAAGCCACTGCCAAGAGATAGAAATAAGCAGACTAGTCTGACAATGCACTCTGATCAAGAATATATACAAAGGCCATTTAAAATAGGAAATCAAATGGTTTAAGGGTGGTCAAAAATGCTGGGCACAGCTACATACTCGTGAAATACAGCACTTAGAAGAAGAGGTAAGAGGATCAAGAACTTAAGGCCAGCCTCCACTACATGACAGTTTTGACACTAGCCTGGGAGTGTATGAGACTCTCAAAAGACACGACGAAACAAAAATGCCCCAAGAGCCAAACTATCTTCACCAGAGAAAAAGAGGTAGCAAGGGAGACTATGAAAAGATAGGAGTTACAGTCAGAACACAAGGTGCTGTAACACCCCCATTAAGATGACCAAGCACCAATCTAGTAAGCATACCAAATGCAAAGACTGGAAGAGGGCAACTTGTTGTGGGGGTGCAAAATAGCAAGCACGGTCACCTTGGAAAGCCATTCAGCAATTTCTTACAAATTGTAATACATTTTACAAAAATAAATCAAGCAAATTTACCACACAAATTGAAATTTATAGCCATACAATAACCTTGTATATGGATGTTAGTAGCATTAGCCATAATTGCCTAAACTTGTATGTAACCAAGATAACTCCCAGGAGGTCAGTAAATAAACCG